TCAACACCTCCACCTCCTACTCCACCATTTCCAAAGAGAGATTGTCTTCCATCTCCGACAGTTTTCTCCGATCTACTACGCTTTACAGGGGTGTTTTCGACACCAGAATCCTCATGGCACCTATCAACTTTATGAAAAGTTAATATAAATATTACGATAGACTGGGACTTATTTTAGTAAGAATTACATTTTCCCCCAGAATAGGGGAAAGAGGTCTATGTATATATTTATTTGAAAAATAATTACTATCAAATATAAATATGAAAACAGGTTGTTTGGTGTGGGGTGATTATGAAAAAAATGTATACCATCGTAAAGCCATTGTGAGCCGTGCTTTAAAAAAAACAAATTCTGATAATGAATAATTTTCAGGTCTATGTATGTACTTGCTTAAACATATTTCCCCTGATCTTACCATGTCGCTTATAGCTGTTATTATACAGGGTTTCAAATTCACATTCTTCACATTTAAAAACCACTTTACATTTCTCTTTGTGTCTTTTTAAATTATCTTTCCGTGTAAAAGTCTTTTTACATGCTTCGCACTCCATGACTGAAACACATGTAATCCCCTTTCTTTGATTACAATAAAACAATAGTAAAAAACCGGTTTTTAAATGTAAACATGCGTACAATTGCAGTACCATTGTACAGTACATAACTTCGGTAAGGTCACATGATTTTTACCTGATTTAAACTTTCTCTCAGGATATGTGATCAGTAGAACAGGAACAATAGTCACCCTTCTATAAAGGGAAGACAACGAAGAAAAAAGATTAGTAAAAAAATTAACACCCTGAAGTTCACAAGTTATTTTATGGAAATTATATTTGCTTCACTAATGTTTTAGATAATAACTATAAATATTGTTTACTCTTTTATTTTCCTAAAATGTTTCTTAATATTTATCTATGAATGACATAGACGAAAAAAGACTTAAATAATCTGTCTTCTACATTTATAAATTGTATTTTAGGATTTATTTTAAGATTGAAGAAAGAAAATCGGAGGTCACTCCACAGAGGTTTAAAGTCTCCATAATCTGACTTCATATCCTGCTCCTAGATAATTAGAACCGGCCACCATCTGTAAAAGAAAGGAAAATATAATGTAAAAAGTTGATTTCTTCATTTTTAAAAACTTGGATATTTTTTTTTCATTCATTTTATGGGCTATTGGAAGTTTTTTTTTAATTGGCTATTTTTGTCCAATGAGGCCGGAGATACAAAATTGGAGCCAACGGAGGTCACTTTTCAGAGGTTCCAAGACTCCGGGAAGAGATATTGGTAATCTGACTTCATATCCTGCTCCTAGGTAATTATATAACATTATTTTTAAAATTAGAACCAGCCACCAGCTATAAAAGGGAGGAAAATGCCTAAAAAGGGTGATTTGTCAAAAAAAAAATTCCAAATACCCTGTAGCCCACAAAAAAATTAACTTTTAAAAAATTTTTTTTCAGCAATGTGTTAGATAATAATATAAATAATATTTCATCTTTTCTTTTACTCCAACATTTTTTATCAGAACTTGTCATTTTTTGCAATCAAAAAAAATCAAAAAAAAAACGCAATTTGACATCAAAAAAATAATTTTTTTTGTGTATTTTAGGGGTCATTGGGAGTATATATTTAAAAAATGGACTATTTTTGTCCAACGAGGCTGGAGATAAAAAATCGGAGCTGAAGGAGGTCACTTTTCAGAGGTTCCAAGACTCCGGGAAGAGATATTGGTAATCTGACTTCATATCCTGCTCCTAGGTAATTATATAACATTATTTTTAAAATTAGAACCAGCCACCATCTATAAAAGGGAGAAAAATGCCTAAAAAGGGTGATTTGTCAAAAAAAAAATAATATAAACACCCCGTAGCCCATGAAAAAATTAATTTTTTGAAATTTTTTTTTCGTCAATGTGTTAGATAATAATATAAATAATATTTTATCTTTTCTTTTACTCTGACATCTTTTATCAGATCTTGTCATTTTTTGCAATTATAAAAAAATCAAAAAAAACGCAATTTTTGACACCCTGTTTTGACATCAAAAACTTGATGAAAAAAAAATAATTTTTTTTTTGTGTATTTTAGGGGTCATTGGGAGTATATATTTAAAAAATGGACTTTTTTTGTCCAATGAGGCCAGAGATAAAAAATCGGAGCCGACAGAGGTCACTTTTCAGAGGTTCCAAGACTCCGTAAAGAGATATCAACAATCTGACTTCATATCCTGCTCCGAACAAATTATATGAGTTTACAATCAAAAATAGAACCGGCTCCTATTAAAATTGAAAGAGATATTGCAAAATGTCTTACTTGTCACGGGTTCTTTTAATTAATTAATAGTTTTTAAAAATCATTAACAACCCTAATTAAGATTCATAGAATATAAGATGTACAAATTGTCTTCTAAGAAGATAGACATTTCAAGAAGAAAATTAAGGAAAATATTAGCATCTGATTGTGATATTTTCTAAATCAAATATAATTACTACTTTTCGCCCCTGGACACTTATCATTCTAGTTTTAATTAAACAGAATTTTATTTAGTATGTATTTCATGGAGTGGTTAATCTACAAATTAAAGTAAGTAAAACAAAATTAAAATCAAAATTGACTGATCAATAATGTTGAAGATATTGTTGTTTTCTACCTTAAAAAATATTTAATTCTTAATTTCTCCATTGTTCTTGGGCAAGATATGTGCAAGTCCCTTTTACAGAGAAATTGGAATGGAAAATAATCTTTTTTGTTAAAAGAACTCCAAGTTTGTGGCTAGTTGAAAAGTGGGATGACTTTTTGTTTAAAGTTTGTGGGCTAGTTATCAAAAGCTGACTTATATCCGACTTTAAGTCAATTTTGAATTCTACTTTTCCTGAACAAGTTTTTAAACTAGTATTCTATACGAGTTCTGTTCACTGGGAAATTTGTGACAACTAGAATGAATAAGCCGTTTTTTACAACTTTCTGTTCCAAATTTGTGGACTAGTTATCACAAGTCTTTTTATGTCCGATTTTAAGTTGAAGTTTTCTAAATTAGTTTTTATACGAGTTCTGTTCACTGGCTAACTCCATCTTTTTCTAAACTAGTTTAAAACTAGTATTCTTTACGAGTTTTGTTCACTGGGTAACCTCATCTTTTTTTCTAAACTAGTTTAAATCTTGTATTCTTTACGAGTTCTGTTTTCTTGGTAACCCCATCTTCTTTCTAAACTAGTTTAAAACTAGTATTCTTTCCGAGGTCTGTTTACTGGGTAACCCTATCTTTTTTCTTAACTAGCTTAGAACTAGTATTCTTTATGAGTTCTGTTTGCTGGGTAACCCCATCTTCTTTCTAAACTAGTTTAAAACTAGTATTCTATGCGAGTTCTATTTGCTGGGTAACCCTATCTTCTTTCTAAACTAGTTTAAAACTAGTATTCTATATAAGTTCTGTTTGGTGGGTAACCCTGTCTTCTTTCTAAACTAGTTTAAAACTAGTATTCTTTACGAGTTCTGTTTGTTGGGTAACCCTATCTTTTTTCTAAACTAGTTTAAAACTAGTATTCTATGCGAGTTCTGTTTGCTGGGTAACCCTATCTTCTTTCTAAACTAGTTTAAAACTAGTATTCTATACCCCATCTTTTGTTCTCAGCTAAAGATTCAATAGGTACTGTTGTGCACCAGACATGTCATTTGAACTAAGGGTTACTTCAAATTACAGCAATAGTCCCATGAAGCTGTTCAAAACAATTTCTTGAAATATTCCTTTAAATTAGGGTGATAATCTTTATATTTAATTATATTTATCTTTGCAACCAAATGTTGTAGACCTTAGATATTTCAAGCCATGAATTCTGCATTCTGATCAAATAATTTGAGTTTGAAATATCGAAGGTTTACATTTCCATCAGATTGTAAAGAAATGGGGGTTAGACAATTTGAGTTTGTGGAAAAGATTAAAGTTTTTTCAATTTATTTAGACGGTTTGATTTGAAAGACATCAGAGAAAATGTAGAGAGACGAATATTGAATGCTCTAATGAACTTTAATAAAACAGGAAGTAACTAAACACCTGTATGAAGATTGTATCAATAAATTGTTTCTTTATGTGCCTTAAATGTTATCAGTTTTATTTGTATTCTCTGTAAATAAATTATTAGTTATCATAATTACAACAGTTATCAGTTTTAAGAAATAACCTTTTTGATAAAGTTAATGAAAAATAAATAAATAAAGGAAAAAAGCCTTTGCCACAAACTCCAATATTCTTACCTCTGCATCTTTGATACCTAATTCACAGTTTAAACTCAGAATATTTGATATTTTCTCTAGCAGAATTCAAAGTTTGAAATATTTTAGGTCTGCAAAATTGGGTTGCATAGATCCGAGTTTGTCGCAAAGACTTCATTCCTTTGCTTGCAGTTAACGCAAACCCATGTTTGAATAATGTAGAATAGCCCCTTTCATGTTCATGTGAATACTAGAGATGTCAACAATAGTGTAACGTAACGTAAAATGTACGTTTTTTATGTTACGTTACAATAATATGAAATGTTTGGATATATTCAATATAACAGGAATTTTAAATGTTATTGTTATAGGAGCTCAACATTAGAGGAACAATGTAACGTTATTTTTCTAATATCTACAAATTGTTTTACCATAACATGAAGAAATGTTTTATTTCCATGGGAGGCTTAAAAGTAGAGATGTCAACAATAGTGTAACATAACGTAAAATGTACGTTTTTGTACGTTACGTTACAATAATGTGTAACATTTGGATATATTCTATATAACGAGAACGTTAAACGTTAACGTTATATGAGCTGATACCTAACGTTAACGTCAAATGTTAACGTTAGAGGTAGATACCACCAACGTTAGCGTTTTGTGGTAATGTAACATTATTTTTCTAATAGCTAACCCTATTTTGACCATAACATGAAGAAATGTTTTGTTTCCATGGGGAGCTTGAAAGTCTAATGTTTGAAAAATTAATTGTGATTTGATTGAATATGGTAACGAAATGATTTCTATTTCAAAGTTCAACTTATAAAAGTCTAACGTTGTATAACTGAAAATGCATTACTGTTTATGAAAACGTTTTGAAACGTTTTCCCTTATGGTATAATGAAAAATTTAACGTTCTAGAAATGGGTTATTATTTTAATAATCAGGAAACGAAAGTTTTTTTACAGAATAAAAATTCAATACTGTAACGTATAACTTTTCTCTGAATACTAAATTGATTTGTCTAATTTTAGATACATGTCTGATAAAAATATTGTTCATAAAACGTTAGACTATGAGGGCTGAGTTTTAATTTCATAAGTGTAACAATAATTCTGCCAATCAAAACATTTCAAAACGTCTGTAATCTATCAATGTAAGAGATTCAACTGATGTTTAAAGAAAATGAGTTTATGCCACAAACTCTAATTTTCATATATTATATCTTTGCAACCCAATGTTGTAGACCATTAATATTGAAATATACAAAGTTTAAACCATCAGGTTGGAAACATGTAGGAATTAGTATATTTGAAAAAAAAACTTTGTTCCTTACAAAAGTGTAAACGATTTTTTTTTGTAAAATGTTATTAGTGAAAATTCAAATCTTATAAATATTTTTTTTTGACATTAAAGGTTTTTGATTTGCCATTGTGTAATGAAACTCACTAAAACTCTGGAAAAGGAAGACGACATTTAAGAAATTTTACATATGCATTTTCTGTTATAAAGCAAATGATTTACTAGTAGCAAAAAAATCAACTTATTAAGTGTGTTACGTTTTATTCATCAATAGATTTTTATGCAACGTTATAATAGAATAAAAAACTGATTTTTTAATTGATTTATTAAATTAAAAGAAAATATTTTATAAAATTTTATTTTGCGTTGTTTATGTTAAATTTTTTTTGCATTTGTCTTACTTTATTTGATATTTTTTAACCCCAAACATAAATCCTGAAAACATTTTCACTGTGGTTTGTAAACTAAAGCTAATGCCGCTTTTTTAGTTTTTACTCACTTTGTAAGTAACATAAAAAACACAAAAAGAACTAAAAATTCGCCCAAATTATAATCTTCTAATCTCTATATCTTTGCAAGCTGGTGTTGTATAGACTTTTCATATTTCAAACTATGACTTCTGCTAGATAAGAAAGTCTAAAGGAATTGAGTTGTTGTCATAAACTTATATTTCTAATCCCTATATCTTTGCTACCCAATGTTGTAGACCTTAGATATTTCAGACTATGAATTCTGTTAGATAGAAGAAAATCTACTGGAGGGGCAGTTTGCATTGAGCAAAAAAAGAAAAAGTAACCCTAAATTAACGTAAAATAATTTAGAACTACTCACTGTAAATTAACAAGTCGTAATTAAGCTATAAAAAGTCACCTAATCGGGTGAAAAAGTTGGATGGCACCCGATTAGGCGACAAAAAATCGCTTAACATAAATCGCTTATTTTAAAAAAATCGCTTTGTTTCAACAAAAAAATCGCTTTTATTCCAGAAGAAGTTGGTGACTTCAAAATAAGCGACACAAAATCGCCTATTTTTACACAAAAACGCTTATTTTTCACAAAATCGCTTATTTAAAAAAATCTTTAATTCAACCAAAAGATCTGGTATTAAAAAAAACTCGTTTATTTTCAACAAAAAAATCGTTTTAGTTTAACCAAAAAATCTCTTATATTCAACAAAAAACTCGCTTATATTCAACAAAAAAATCAGTTATTTAAACAAAATGTTTCTTTTTTTCCCGTGTACACTTTAAAGTAAATAAAGAATTGTACAGTAATTTCTCAAACTTTTTAGTTTAAAAGTTATTGAAAAATTTGAAAATTATATGATAAAGTCAACACTTTCAATCTTTTTAGTTTAGTTAATACCTATTGCATTAGCTAGCTCAACCTCATCTGAGTAGAGAATGATGTGAATCCAGTCCTAAAGCATATTAACTAGTCATTTTTTTTTTGTAATATTCCCGACAAACCAAATTTCGTTTCTAGAACTTTACAGAAACGTTATGTAAGGTAGCGTTACGCTATGGCTTCATTTTCCTGATACGTAAATGCTACGTAAAACGAACCACTTTTTACGTTACTGAAACGTTTTCCAGTATTGTTTCCCAGAAACGTTTTAAGATCGTAAAAAATCTTATATACGTATATATACTTAGTACTTCCCTTAATATTCTATATTCTAGTATTCTATTCCCTGAATATATCTTATTAATATAGAGAACACTAAATCCTTATCCTAAATCTGTAGAGAACAGTATATACTTATCATGTCTTTGTTTTTCATATTTAAGAGAACACATACATACAGTGTAATGTTATGTACTGTAGAAAAGAATAAGATTAAAAATATACAGTAAATAAAAAATCATTGAAAATACTCCACTATTAAATAACATCCAGTATCATAGATAACTAGCATTTTATATTAAAGAAATTGAGTCTTTGCCACAAACTCTAATTTTCTAATCACTATATCATTGGAACCAAATTATTTTACAGAGGTCTTAAAATTAATGGTTAACACCCGTATGGTTGATTGAAAAACAGGATGATTAATGGAATGATAAACCAGATGATTAATTGATAAAACTGATTGATTGATTGCAAACCCAGGTGATTTTATGATTAATTTTCTCAATTATTCGAATTTTTTTTATAACTCATCGACAATTTACCCAGTAAATGCGCGAGAAGGACTAGTTTACAAAAAGTAAATATTTTATTTGTATACCTTTGTGTTTAAACACGTTTCTACTTTAGTGTGTTACCTGCTTGTCGAGGTTGGCCGTTTAACAGAATATTGCGGCACTCCCTATGATTGAAGTGGGCTGGCTGATTGAGTAAAAGCTGGATCGCCCTGAAGTAAAATTTTTTTTTTACACATAATATGTTTTAAGCTTAAAAGTAATACATTCAGACAAAATAAAGTTTTGCCTCGTCAAAATGTAATATGCTAAATACTCAAAATTATTTACCTAACCCTCTGCATGTTTCTGTCGCCAGGCATAGGAATATCAGGATGCGGATTTGCATCTCTGTTAATGGGACCATGAGGTAGAATAATCACTGGAACACCACCTCCTCCGCCACCACCTCCTCCGCCGCCAACACCACCTCCTCCGCCGCCAACACCACCGTGTAAAAGTCTTTTTACATGCTTCGCACTCCATGACTAATCACATGTAATCCCCTTTTTTTTGATTACAATAAAAACAATAGTAAAAAACCGGTTTTTAAATGTAAACATGCGTACAATTGCAGTACCATTGTACAGTACATAACTTCAGTAAGGTCACATGATTTTTACCTGATATAAACTTTCTCTCGGGATATGTGATCAGTAGAACAGGAACAATGCCACCCTTCTATAAAGGGAAGACAACGAAGAAAAAAGATTAGTAAAAAAATTAACACCCTGAAGTTCACAAGTTATTTTATGGAAATTATATTTGCTTTACTGATGTTTTAGATAATAACTATAAATATTGTTTACTCTTTTATTTTCCTAAAATGTTTCTTATTATTTATCAATGAAAGACACAGACGAAAATAACTTAAATAATCTGTCTTCCACATTTATAAATTGTATTTTAGGATTTATTTTAAGATTGAAGAAAGAAAATCGGAGGTCACTCCACAGAGGTTTAAAGTCTCCGTAATCTGACTTCATATCCTGCTCCTAGATAATTAAAACCGGCCACCATCTGTAAAAGAAAGGAAAATATAATGTAAAAAGTTGATTTCTTCATTTTTAAAAGTATCGAAAAAAGCACTTTTCGGCACCCTTAACATCAAAAACTTGGATATTTTTTTTCATTCATTTTATGGGCTATTGGGAGTTTTTTTTTAAATTGGCTATTTTTGTCCAACAAGGCCGGAGATACAAAATTGGAGCAGACGGAGGTCACTTTTCAGAGGTTCCAAGACTCCGGGAAGAGATATTGGTATTCTGACTTCACATCCTGCTCCTAGGTAATTATATAACATTATTTTTAAAATTAGAACCAGCCACCATCTATAAAAGGGAGGAAAATGCCTAAAAAGGGTGATTTGTCAAAAAAAAAATTATCCAAACAGCCTGTAGCCCACGAAAAAATTAATTTTTTGAAATTTTTTTTTATCAATGTGTTAGATAATAATATAAATGATATTTTATCTTTTCTTTTACTCCAACATTTTTTATCAGAACTTGTCATTTTTTGCAATTAAAAAAAAATCAAAAAAAAAGCAATTTTTGACACCCTGTTTTGACATCAAAAACTTGATAAAAAAAAATAATTTTTTTTTTGTGTATTTTAGGGGTCATTGGGAGTATATATTTAAAAAATGGGCTATTTATGTCCAACGAGGCCGGAGATAAAAAATCGGAGCCGACGGAGGTCACTTTTCAGAGGTTCCAAGACTCCGGAAAGAGATATCGACAATCTGACTTCATATCCTGCTCCTAACAAATTATATGAGTCTACGTTCAAAAATAGAACCGGCTGCTATTAATATTGAAAGAGATATTACAAAATGTCTTACTTGACACGGGTTCTTTTCCTTGGGTTTTTAATTTTTTTACAAATTATTATTTTTATGAATTTTTATAAATTGGGTACAGGTAATACAGAAATCTTTTATTTTAATTATTCTTATATTCTTTTCTTCCCAAGAAATTAAAATCATTTTGAACATCTTAACATTCCCCTAAACTCGCATTCAGCTCGAAACTGAGCTAGTTTTATTGGTTCTGAAATAGAAGGGAGCTTAAGTCTCATTCATAAGATTACAGGTTCACAGTGTAATTTAAATCTAATTCTAACTGAGTTTTTATTTATAAAATTTAAACTGTACCCAAAAAATTTGAATGAGTAATGATTTTGCAGTTTTTCAATTAAGCGACAAAAATAGTCCGGTACCATCTTAAAGTTAATGATAATGATAATGATTATGTGATCGTTTATGAATTTCTTCAAATTGACCGAAAATTAAGTTGGCTATTCCATTTAATTTTCAATATCTATTACAGAACGAATAAGTCGAATGTGACAGAAGAACCAAAGGAGAGAAGAGTACTACTGGAACCCATATATAATACCAAGAATGCTCTCTACCAAACCTGGAAGGTTTCTGAGGGCCAGGAGTCAGTAAAGGATATGAACGGGAAAATAAACCAACAGAAACTTGTTGATAATCATATTGTGATCAGGTTCGATGAAGAAGAAGGAGAGAAAGTAGAACCAAACCAGAAACCATTGACTCAGATAGTCCCGAAGAACGACGATTCTTCAGAAAATCTGATTCAAAGATTACCCTGTATGTTCTGCAAAGCTCACTTTACGTCATGGAAAAGTGCAAAGAGACATATGACACAGTCTCACAAGAAAACTATCGAGTTTGTCGATAGCAAACGAGATGCTGTATTTAGTAATTCCTTTAAAGGTCCCAAAGGAGTATTGCATGTGGTTGATAAACTAGGACACTCAGCTATTCCCCTGAATCCTGAACCCTCCGTCCTCCCAGATGGAAAGATGGAAAACAGCGTGACTCCCGTGAAATCTGTTAGTGTAGATATAAAGAAACTAAACCTTGTCAAAGAAGATATCTGTAGACTAGTTGGTACTGACCAGGTGTGCCCGATGCTTAAAACTAAGATTGGACCCGGGCTGGACTGGGATCAGATATCTGTCATGAAGCATACTAGGGAGTTGGAAAATATTCCAGAGGAAGTTGACAGAAAAATCATGGAGCACATTAATCGACGGCATCTTCAGTGTAAGATCTGCTATAAGCGGTTTAGAGGAACCTTTCTGGCTAAACAGCACGTGGCAACCACACATCTCAAGCTATATAGGTAGATTTTCAATATCATGTCGTATATTTTGAACAAATAATTTGGTACAGTTGAATACAAGCTTTATTCTATTTTATACGTTAAACACAAAAATCACATATTTCCTAATTCAGCGAACCATACCAAATATACTGGGGTGGGAAAAATTTTAGCTGAGTAAGGGAATACTTAAAAAAACATATCCCTTTAAAATAAAAAGGAAATGATAAAGGGTAACAAAGAAGTGATGGAAGAATAAAGAGGGAAATAAGGGAATTGAGTATTAACATAAAAAAATTGCATAACTTAAAAGTTCATGAAATCATCTTTTAACATTAATATGTTTAGATATAAATGTTCTGTTTGTGATTACGGAGCTTGGTCCAAGGAACACGTTCTCTCTCATGCAAGCAAAAACCACCGAACCAGGAACTCACACGACTTTGCCATTGAACAAAATAAAGAGGTTTATTTCTCAAAATACTTAGAACCGTCTCAAACTGTAGTTCCCGCCATTTCAGGAACCTTGCTCAATCATAATTTCGAGGATTTCAAGATAGACTCTGCCCTGCCAAAAACCTATGAATGTGGGGTTAATCTTGTGAACGTTGGTGTCCACCACGGTGATAAGGTAGACATAGTTCCCGCTAGTCTACTGGCCGGGCTCAAATCTCAAAATAGATGGGATTCATCCGATTCTGAAGTTAGTTTCAACAAGCGAACTGTTGGTAAGCGACTACGTCACTCTAGTGCGGGGTCAGATGGTGAACTTAGAGCTAAAACAAATAAATCTGATGACACTAAAGGTAATGATTTCTTTTGTATGCTTGTAAAAAAACGAAAAAAATCATATTTTAACAATTTCAGGGTATTTGCGCTGAATTTAGTTGTTTAATGGAAAATGGAAATAATTTTATGGTAGTATTTTCAGTGGCGCTACTAGACTTTTGTAAGGAGCGGGTGAAACACAACCTTGAGGGGCTAGGGGTGCGATTGGGGGGTTCAAGGTGGTTAGCAACCTTGTCCAAAAATGTTTAAAAAATAAAGCGCCGTTTTCAGGATTTGATGTAAAAAAGCAGCATTTTTTAATTGTTGAAGAGTTGGCTTGGTGATCAATAATATACCAAATTATGGCAATAAAATAACATACTTTTAACAGCTTTAAAACGAATGAAATAAGAAAATTAATTAAACAATGTGCGCTAAGCGCCAAAAAAATTTTGTTCTTCTATTGTTATTTCATGTATTTCAGTGTCTGTTAGTCCCTGGCTTAGTCATATTCACTATGTATTATGATCACAGATTCCTTTTACAGTCTACAGCAGTTTTTTGTAATACATCCACTATTCATATTTGTCCACTAAGTCACATAATCGTAGGTCTGTGCAGTCCTAAGTAGTAAGTAGTTCCTGGCAGTACTGGACTATATTTCGTCTGTAAAAGTCTTTATGATCGAAATCCCTTTGTCCTTGTTTGCCAGTACGGGGTTTATTCCTGTTTCGCTCTTATAGTTTGCAAAAGTCCTATTAGTCTGATATAATCCTTATTATATTTATCGTTTTTCTTCTTAGGTTGTCATGTGTTGTGTAACCTTAAATGATATATGTATTGTAAATCTCATGAGAAGTTACATATATACAGTTTTTTTGAGAGGATAAATTAAGAATGAGTGACTTCCTTTAAGTCAAAAACAAGAAAATAATTAGTAAGTCATATTTCAGGGTGGTCAAAATGTAGGATTGTACGGATTTTTTTATCTTTACCAAAAAATTGTATGGATTATGCGGAATATATGGATAATGTCTTAAATTGTACTGATTTTCAAGGTTTTACCCGGAAAACGATATTTTTTTGATTTTGACTCATCATTTGCTAATTTTTGCATGAAAGTTCTTCTTAGAATAAATATCGTCAAAATCAAGATAAACTTAATATCTTCACCACCAAGGATGTATAACTATATCCTAGTTCATTCAACCCAAGCCAAGTCTTATCATGAGTTGAGGACTGGACAAACAAATAATAATGATTTAACCTGTTACTTTGCATCTGTTACCAACAGGGGACAGAATTTTCCACGGAGCCAAGAATTGAACCCTCGTGACCCTTATCTGGAGAGCATGGATAACGGTGCTTTCGTCGGCAGAGAAAGCAAACTGAACGTCCATTTTGTGCCCCGAAAGAGGGTCAGTCTTGATGAAGGATCAGAGGAGAGAGGTCGATAAAATCTCCAGTAGCTCCAGGGGGAGAATTATCTTCATCTATAATTCCAGGATTAACTTCGGTTGATCCTCAGTTTGTATTTTAATAATAATGTAAAATAAATGTCTGTGCAAAGTTAGTGCTTTAATCGATTCAACCTGGCTTGTTATATTGAGTTTCTCTTTGTAAAGTTTCCTTTATTGAGTTCTTTATACTTGAGTTTCTCATCAAGTTTATAATATTAGGTTGATTGTTGTTTCAATTGACAAAAAAAATTCATCCTTTCATCTTTTCGAGAATACGTTCGAGAAGTGTTCATTAAGAATATTTTCCAGAAGTACTGTCCCGCAAAAACTTTGCAGTATGGGTATTTGGTACTGAGGGAGAAGAAATTTTCGTTTAAATTTCACAATCAAGGTGTCATCGAAACGCTAAAATTTTCAGTTACTTCCAGGTGTAAATTTTTTCTTTCTATATCTCATGCTTTTTTTGTGTTACAACCACTTCTTTGAGCATAAGTCAAAAATCTTAAAAAGCTAAAAATTTATGTTGTGACCAGATTTAGGAAAAATAAAAAATACTACGTTTTTAAGGTTATGAGTCTCCGACTCCTCTCGCAGTAAAAGAGCTTCCAGTGAAATGAGATGATAACAATCTCTTTATTCAGTTCAAAGTGAATTAGATCAATGATTAATTATTTAGTTTTTTTCATGCAATTTTTGTATTTTTTTCAGAGAAATATTTTTACTTATTACTAATATTTAATACTCAGATTTACTCATAAAATTCTACTTTATTATTAATTTTAAATGCAGATTTTTGTCTTCCTGGTGCTGATAACTTTAGAAGATTACTTTAGTATGCTCTGTATGTTTAATAGAACTGTTAAAGGGACTGTTAGCGTAATTTCAAGTAACTCTCCAGTCTCCATGCAAGGATGGCCGATTTACTACGATACCCTTGAAACCTTAATCTAATCAAACATAGGGTCGTATTTCTGACTCAAAAATTGTTTATTTCTGTGAATTTCTTCATTTTTTCTAATGAGCAAGAAATTCGCAAGTCACTTTCGCGCAGAGACACCGCAAATGAAAATAAACAGTTTAAAGAAACAAAAAACTTGGGTATCTAATTAACATTTTATCAGACAGCGCTTTTAAAGGTACAGTTGTGAATTGGGCATTGCCATCTTTATTAGAAGGGTCGCTTGAAATTACGCTTACAGTCCCTTGTGTCTCTTTAAGTGTAAGAAACTTATTTGAGGGTCATTAAGATTATGTTGTCAAAATAAAGTTGATGTTCGCCCAACTGAACTTCAGTTTGAGGTCGGAACTACTGTATTGTTAATGCACTCAGAAACCACTAATTGCTATCTTCTGTAGTCTGACCATTGGTTATTTAATTTCAATAACTCTCATCTAAATTGTTTTCTTCCAAAAAGTACGAACCCCATTTATATTTTATGATAATTTATTAAGTTTTCTAAACCATTATTGAAAAAAATATTTTGTGCATAAAAAGCATGTTTAATTCAACTTCAGATATTATTTACATAAACAGTTTTATATATGGGGCAAAGAACGACAAATAGTCATTGTTACCTCTTGGTTCAGATATAGACAAATATATAATTTTTCTTATTATGCGAACATTGACACAGATGTAAATGATATAAAACGATCTTCTGAAAATATAATTGTATGATGGAGACCCCTTGTCCCCCCTAGTGTATAGTTTTATTTGTTTTTTACCAATCCTAAAATTGTATCTCAACATTTTTATGTTACGAACAGAAAATTATTTAGTTTGTTTCGTTTCAGTTATTAAATAGTCTTTAATATATTTTTATAAATATTTATGATAATAAAGTTATGATGTGCTCGTAAATATTTCAGATAAAATGGGTCCGCCGAGATTGTTGAATCACATGAGCAATATTCTAGGCAGGAGAAATAAGTTCATATAAACAAGATTTACCAGATTTAAAGGGGTTGTGCACTGTTTAATGTTCACCTTGTTTTAAAGGAGAGTTCGCGAAAAATGAACACTTTGGATTTTTTGATCTGCCAGGAAACGGGTTAATATAATTTTTTATTAAAACGGTTTCAATCTACTGCTATTGTAAAGAATAATCCTGTTTTCTATGATTTTTCAAGAAAATCCCTTAATGAGGCTTATTTAAGAATCACAACTGTACTCTGTTCTTTATCTAAGTACCGATGATGAAGATATCTGCTTTTATCAATCTAAGAATAAAAGATTTATCATAAGGATTTAAAGTTACTGTTGTGATGATTCGTTCATGGAACACTTTTGTGAACGGGTTGCTTTAAACTACACCCTGACTTTTGAGATAATTAAGTTCAAAATATATTTTATCGAAGCAAAGATTAACGTAATAAGATAAACCCCCCTAGTTTGGATACAAATGGAATCACTTCAAAAAGTTTGTTTACAGAGTTTAGAATCCGGATTCTTAACATAATTGTTCCTTCGATCCGGATCTGTAACATAAAAGCTCTTTGGATCCGGATCAAAGTGGCAAGCAGAAACGCTATGCCAGTATGCCTAATTTGTCAATAAAGTTTTAACTTGAAGAGAACAAACAAATTCGAAATTTTTTTTTTTTAAATCAGTAAATCATTAAAGTTATAAAGCTTTATTATTTTTCAATAAATCGGTATTCACTGAAAATTTCCAAAATCTAAGAAATTCTCCTGGTGTTTAGAGAGCTTAGAAGAATTTGACGCTAGTTCTAGGTTTACAGACCTAAGAATAGTTTGTATGGATGGAGTTATTCTTTCATACAAGTAGGTGTTTATTAATACTAGGCTTTTCTATTTCAACTTTTAATTTTGGCTTGTGAGCATCTTCTCTTGTACAACGTATAAAACAAAAACAAATATAGTTTGCGGATTTCAAAATATTTTTTCGCGCATTTTCAAAATTTTACAAAAATAAAAACTTTTTAAAACAAATTTTTAAAATTTTTAACATTCATAAACCTTTCCTGGGGGTCACGTGATGTCCTACACAAAATTTGGGGCCGATTGGTTCATCCGTTTTGACGTTTATTGGATACAAACAAACAGACAGACAAGCTAAATTTATATATGGATTTTCCAAGATAAGATCATTTTCTCAACTTTAAAGCTAAAACCCAAACTTTTTATAAACCCTTGTAGAGGACCCTTGTTCTTGTATCTGCTTGTTATTATATTCAATTTGAATTTGAATTTAATTTTAAAATGGTGGTATAGTTTAATTCGATTTTCGGAATCTTCTATTTATATGTTATGATTTCCTGATGCCTTACTGTATCTAATTCATCATGAATATATTTTCTTTAAAATTTTATCAAGAACTCTAAGGAAACATATTTCAAATACTATTTTAATATTTAATATTAAAGGTTGTTACTGGGAGCGTGTAGTGAGATGTTAAAACATTGTCTTGATGTTGAATACGAGGGAGAAGATGCTTGTATTATCCTTCCAACCCTGAACACATGGGAAATCAAGGTTAATTATCAATCAATCAATTAAAGGGACTGTAAGCCTGACCCTTCATCCACAGATGACAATGCCTGATTAAAAACGGTACCCTTGAAGCTTTGCCTGATTAATATATATGAATTAGGATATTTTTACGTGAGTTCTCTACAAAAGTGACTTGCGCATTTCTACTGCAGTAAAATATCGGAATTATTAGAATTATACATTTTTAAAACTAACAAATCTTCCACATTATTGATCAGAGAAAGGTTTCAAGGTTACTGATGTAAATTCGGTATTGCCATCTATGCATGGAGGGTCACTTGAAATTATGTCTACAGACCCTTTAAAAACTGAAACAGAACCCCCCAGACCGCCTTCAGGTTCAGATAACTACACGATGCTGGAAATATTATCATGGAAGTTTTTGAATATCGCATTTTAATGGAGAAAAACAAAACATGTAAAACTTTCAACCAAAAATGTGTTTTGATGATTTTAATATTTTAAAGAATCAATGTTTAGTGTTGATATTTTAGAAATTTGTTAAATTTATAACAAAAAAAATATCAAATTGATTAATTAATTGATTGATAGTTTAATAAATATTTAAATTAATAATAGTGAAAACATAAATATTTTAGGTTTTCCAGTCTGCTTTACTGTGCCATAATGAATCCCCAACTAATAAAGAATTGGATGCAGTGCTCAAGGTATATTTAACATTTTTGTGCTCAGCCTGATGTTTTCACTTCACATTGTTGTGCTTACTGCTTAGTCAAAGTATATTTTACAATTTTTAAGGGGTTTCCACATTTTTTGCTCTTTGTCTAATATGTTTTAAGAGTAAATTTTACATTTTTCACGTCAAGTCTGATTTTTAGACGTTTTTTTCTTTTGCTGACTTCTGGAAGCACATTTTATTTTTAACTTTACTTATTTTTACTGGTTCATCTATTTATTGTAGGTGTTTGCCACTATCGGAGGAAATGTTGGACCGTATGTTGATGTTGATCTTCATACTCAAGACCCGGAACTAACCCTGGCGCCAGCCCTGAATCTAGGTAGACCTGGAGCAAAACTGAACCTGGCTCCACCAGGAGTAGAACTAAACCTTGGCTCAGGTGGGACGGATATTGATATATCTGATCTCTCCAGTATCTGCCTGCTCTCGGTAGATCCTAAGTCTGAAACTGAGCAGGTACTAGCAACCTAATTAAAAAATGAAGTCAAAGGTATTTTAATCTTTCCCTGATGCATTTCTATATATTTCCCAAGTGATAAATGACTTTTTCTTAATAGCATTTTTACAAATAATTATTTTCCCAAATAGATAATCTTGAATTGTCAATGAAATATTACGTTGTAATGTCTTGTTATATTTAGGACCTGGAGAAGGAAGAGAGAATAACTTTAATAATCCCGAGCTCACTTGATGTATTCCCAGTTTCTAAGGTAACCCACCAGGGATTTTATATTCATTTTTGGTTTTCCACCCGTCTGCAACACATTGATCTGTAAGATGTGAATGGGAGAATTAGATAATAAAATGAGAGAGGAAGATTAAATAAATCCAAAAGTCGAACATTTTTATTTCATCCAACAAACCCGAACTTTTTTTATTCAGTTTTTAAACGAAACTTAAAAATTTTATTTGTACTCAAGTTCATTGATATAAATTTGACAAGATTCTTATTCAAGTTTTAGGTATTAAATTCATCAAACGCAAAGCATTTTTTTTTCAAATTGTTCCATAAGGGGGTGGGGGCTAGGCTAGTTAGCTAGGGTCTTAAAATATTAAAAAATATATTTTTGTTTATTTAGAGAACAGATAAGATCCTGGACGAGGTAGAAGAACTAAAGCTCACTTCTGTGGATGAAAATCTTTACAATAGGAATATTCTCATCAAAATTTGAAAAATTTAATTAAAAAAATGAAAAAGGAATTTGTCTCCCAACATTTTTTATCGATGATAATTTTAAACCTAATGTGTCCAAATAATAAAGGAATAATTTTTTTTCTGTTTAAGATAATAGGCGGGCTTAATTTTGACGAGAATTTATAAGAACTGAGATTGATATTGAAGATCTAAACCCTGCTCCGAGTCCTAAACCCAAACGGAAGTATTCTTGTCCCTTCTGTGGGCGAGGTTTTGTGAACCTTGCTCCGTTTGAGAAACATATAGCTATTCATCAGGGATCAGAGGGAGAGAATCCTCTACCGGAGAAGGACCTGGAGCCGAAACCCAAAATTGTGACAAGTTCTGATTTTGTCTGTAACATCTGTAACAAGAAGTTGACCTCCAGCAGTTCATTAAAAACCCATCTTGATCTGCATAACGGGGAGTTAAATGTCGAGTGTGAGATTTGCAATAAAAGGTTTGTCAACAAAAGTACTTTAAAGAATCACATGAAGTCTCATGATGAAGATACAAATACACCCCGATTTTTATGTAATATATGTGAAAAGATATTTTCTCATCCGAGTAACTTAAAGAGACACATTAAACATGTTCACATGGATGACGAAAGTTCAAGAAATCACGACTGTGAGCTGTGTGGCAAAAAGTTTAAAGATAACGGAACTCTGAAAACACACATGGCAATCCACCAGGACACACGGAAATTCCCGTGCACCATGTGTAGTAAATCCTTCGTTAAACGTAGTCAACTAAAAGCACACTTTAGAGTTCATACTGGAGATAAGCCGTTCACATGTAACTTCTGTGTCAAATCATTCAAGACCGCTGCTCACTTAAAGTCCCATAAGCTGAACCGTCATGTTGGAATTAAACTAAACAAGTCCCATTTATGCCAGGAGTGCGGTCAAGGATTCGTCAAGGAGTATGATCTTCGGGTTCATATTCGACGACATCGAAATGAGAAACCGTTTAAATGCCTTACATGCGAGAAGAGTTTTCACGGAGAGCGACACTTCATGGAGCACTCGCGGACCCATACCGGAGAGAAACCTTATCAGTGTGAGAATTGCAAACGCTGCTTTGCGACAACTTCAGGTAATTAAATGGACTATTAGAGTTCTAAGTTTTGAATCCTAAACATACTTGTTTTTTATTCTTGGAAAATTTTCTAATGTTAACTTTATTCTAGGACTGAGGCAGCATTTCAAATCCTACGCGAACTGTCGGTTGCAAGCAACAGAGGGAGCTTACTCTAAGTTCCCCCAAAAGTAAGTCAGAATGGAGAACTTTTTCAATGGTTGGAAAGAGTTGAAATTGTCGTTTACTTGTCAATTCTTAAATTATAACTTTTTAGAGATAGTTAAAGATCTCTGCAATGAGATACTAACTCTACCGTTCATTTATGAAAAAGTAATTATGAAACTATTTATTGTTATTTCAACTATCATGTATTCTGATTTTTCTACATATAATTCTGGCCTGTTATTATTCATTTCTATTTTACCTTTATTTCTTATTTGGCACCATCCACTGCTTCCTTTCTACCTTTTTCTGGCACTTCTTTCTGTTTCTTTAAAGTTCATAAATTCATATTTTTTTTGTGATTTGAAACTCATTTGTTTCAGGAGAACTGAATGGCAGAGGTTGGGCGGAATTCATATATCAGAGTTTATCATGTCGGAGAACTCCGATCTTCATAATATAGAGGTGACAGGACAGGACAGGACAGGACAGGACAGGACAGGACAGGACAGGACAGGACAGGACAGGACAGGACAGGACAGGACAGGACAGGACAGGACAGGACAGGACAGGACAGGACAGGACAGGACAGGACAGGACAGGACAGGACATAATAATAATAAGACAGGATAGGACAGGACAAAAAAAGGACAGTTTTTTTTCTGTTGAGATCGACGCTCTGAAGTACAAATCGAATTCTAAACAGGGAGCTCCCTTTCATCAAAAAAGAAATTGACAATAAAACTACTAAATGAAATACAATCTTAACGAAGTTGTTATTTTAATACGTTATGAAGATTCTAAAGGGGTTGCTCACGGTTTGTTGCAATAATTTTTTTCGTTCAAATACTCAAATATTTGTTCGTTACCCTCTTTTTTATTTTACATACACTCCTTTTAAGTTTTAAGATTAATTTTTAAGGAATTTTTCTCAACGTTTAGCCTTTTTAGGAATTTACAGTTGAAGAGCTGAAGGATACTGAGGAGACTGTTGTTTATATAACCTCTGATCTTGGCCTGGTTGGAGGAGGAATGATTGAACAGGATCTAGATGGACAAGTTAATATACAATCTCTACCTATAGAAATAGATACAGAGGTAAGTCATCAAAAATATGACAACGTAACTGAACAGTGAAAACTTGCTTCAAACTCTAATCTTTTACATTTTTTATCTTTGCAACCTACTGGCAAAACCTTTGATGTTTCAAACGTTAACTATAAGTTCTAACAGTATTCTTAGTTTAAAATATCAATGGTTGCAAAGATTGTAATATTCAAAGTCATGGTTACTCTACAAGAACTCTTCACCCCTTTCTCTGGGTCAGGGTAGTATAGGGAAGCTGGAGGGGACTAAGGAGGAAACTGACCTCCTTCCCCCTCATTATACAAGAAAATATATCCTCGGAGTCTTCATCTTCACTGAAGATAACAGAGGACGCTCTATACTCTCTAACTGGTTTTAGGAGAGACTAACACACGGGTTCACCATACTCGTCTGTAGATCTCATCAAGAGATTCATATCCTGTAGCTTCTAGAACTGGACCAATTGCTCTTGAACCAGCCCGTCTGAACTACCTACTGGAATATCCTGGATACAAAAGAGAACTAGGGTATTCAAGATATTAGTTGTTGCCTAAACCTGAAACTGGAGAGGCTTCTCTTTACAGACAGCTCATCATATACCAGTTGCAGCTAGAAGTTCTAGTCAGACTTAGGACTGCAGGAGCAGAAGCTAAACCTGATACTAGAGACGCTGATCTTTACAGACAGCTCTCCACGTATCCACAAAAGAGGAACAAGATGATCTTGATACAGGAGATGCTGCTCTCTACAGACAGCTTTTCACAGGCCTGTTGTAGAAGCAGCTAAGGAACAAGATAATCGTGAACCAACAGACTCTAGGAGCAGCTCCAGTAACGAAACTCTAGCATAGAAGAGCTTCTAGGAAGAGCTCCAGTAATAAAGGATGCAGCTTGAGTAGCAGCTAAGGTTGCAGTGTAAGAGACACTAGACTGTAGCAGCTAAACTAGATGTCGAGTTGGCGAAGCTGCCGAGATAGATACGGAATTGGAGCAGCTAAAACAAGATATTGAGATTGAGGAAGCTGCTCAGACAGACAATGAACTGGAACAGATGAACCACAATTCCTTAATGTATTTAATGTATTTGATTGTAATGAAGCTGAGAAATTTTATTCAACAGAGCCCTTAGAATGTGACACGATAGTCGTACACATTACACATTGTACAATTGTACAAGAGTGTTGAAACAAATGGGAGGGGTTTAGGATCACATTATCAGGAATTAAATTGTAATACGTTTATTTCTATGAGATTTTTCTGAAAATAGAATGTAAGTTGTCCCCACAAGGTTCTCAACCTTGAAGAAAAACTGGTTTCTTTCTGTGGGCTTGGGCCAGCAATTTAATGCCAGTCTAGGTAGCACAGAGAGGAGGACGGTGAAATGAATTTCTCTTCGTAGAAACATCGAATTTATTAATAATTGAATCCTGGCTCGACCTTTTCCTTAAACACTGAATTTAGATTTTGGTGTTGATGTTAGTCCAAATCATAGAACATAGACCGAAATATATTTTCAATATACGTGGAACTAACAACTACTTTTTTTACACTACAGAGGTTTGGTCAATTACCATCACCGAATTTTAAATAGTACGTCAAGTTGACTGCGGATGTTATTTCCACATTTTTTAGAAAATATATTTCGGTCTGGGGTCAGTTCTATGTTTAACTATAGTATAACTAAAGTCAAGAAAGAAAACAATCGCACAAAAATGTCTTCTATACAACTAAAATCACACTTTTTATGACGACTAATGACACAGTTTAATTGTTTAGGGTGGAGAAGTGTTGAACCTGGTGGAAATGACGGAAAATCTTTGAAACTCTCCAAAGGCGATTTTTCTTCCTTGTTCTCGACAAATTGCTTAATTTTTTATGCCTGATTTATTCAGTAGCAATTTAAAGATAGTGTTTTCCATGGGGAAAACGAAATATTTTTATTGTTAGTTCTATGCAGCTCAAGAAGAAACGATTAATCGTATCCCTTTTTTTAAAGTATTTTTTACTTCTACCTCTTTACCAAGATATTTTATCAGCTTTAAAGCTGTAATTTATTTCAGAAGAAAATGGCCGCAAAACTAAAGAAAAGAGCGATGGCCGAATACGGGAGTAAGGTCGGTGGCCGTTATTAAAAGTTGTCATTAACTTTCATTCATGGGTATATATTTTCAAGAATGCTTTCCGAAGATGGGGGTGTGGGGTGAAAAGTTTTTCCCGTTTTTCCATCAATTTTACTTCAAAAATACCTCATTTTCCCGAATGTAACGTAATTTCAGATTACCCTTCATTTATATTTAGCGTGGGAAGTCAGATATACTAAGTTACGATTGAACCCGTTGTCTGATCAAGAATGAATGAGAAATTCATGCTTCCCAACCTAAGCATTGATTATTTTCCTCGGTGGGTTTCCTTGTGGATTTAGGCAGGGAATTGTCATTTCAAGATAAAAAAGGTTTAAAGATTACCATTGTGAATTCGACATACCACTTTATAAATGAAGAGTCACTTGAACTTACGTCTACACTACTTTATTGTTTAAATTATTTTAATCATTTTTTTTATTTAGGTTTTAACAGAAGAACCTCAGGAGAATGTGAAGCGTTTAAAACTTTCCTTAAGGAAACCTAAATCTTTGATTTTTTTGTAATTTTTATTTATTGTGAGTTTTTACATGATATTACTTTTTTTTGCTTAATCTAAAATATAGGAGTTTTATCAGACAATCAACGTCAGTTGAACCTGAGGTGGATCCAGTTTTAAATATAGGTTAACAACATTTATCATTATTTTTAAAGAGGGGGGGGGGGTCGAATGATTTTCAAAAATACACCTCTGTGATTGGCTTGCATGCAAAATAGCATCTTTACCATCAATCACAATAACGTTTAAAAGTTTAGAAAGCCAAGTTAAGTCCATCGTAATCTTTTTAGAACGACATGTCACATTATTGTTCAAAATTTGTTTTGGAATTGTTAACAGTAAATCAGCTACTTTTCGGATAAAACAAGAATCCTCTTATAAAAAAATAAAGTAACTTCAATGTAACTTTAATTGTAACTCAATTTTAAAGTTGATGTATAAATCTGCAAGTCACTTATATAGAGAAACTTATTCATGATTACCAATTTTTATAAAGAAAACAACGATTTCTCCATTAGTAATACGGTTTTGAATCGGGTATAGTGAAGGGTCAATCAAATTTTGTTCGACAATCCCTTTAAAGATTAACTTAAACTTTCTTTTTTAGTCGACAATTTCTTTACACATTAACTTAAACTTACTTAGTTAGTCGACAATCCCTTTAAAGATTAACTTAAACTTTCTTATTTAGTCGACAATCCTTTAAAGATTAACTTAAACTTTCTTATTTAGTCGACAATCCTTTAAAGATTAACTTAAATTTTCTGATTTAGTCGACAATCCCTTTAAAGATGAACTTAAACTTACTTATTTAGTCGACAATCCTTTAAAGATTAACTTAAACTTTCTTATTTAGTCGACAATCCTTTAAAGATTAACTTGAATTTTCTGATTTAGTCGACAATCTCTTTAAAAAAGATTAACTTAAATTTTCTTATTTAGACGTGAATACTCCTGAGAAGAAGATAATACTAGAACTAATGAAATATAGTTCAGAATTAAACCTCTCCTCCTCGGATAACCTCCAGACCTCGCTCCGGAGGCTGGAGGAGTCTCTCAAGATCATGAAGGAGAATTGCATCAAGTACAAACTAATTATTCTCTACGGGAACATTCTAGCTTCAGGAACCAATAATCTTATATATATTTAGTAATTTTTAATCCATTTATTTTAGTGTTTTAATGATTAATTAACTTAACAGGGATTAAATTTACAAAACAGCGAGAAAAGTTGAACTTCTTTTGTGCACCAGTTCAGTTTTAGAAGAAGTGGTTCAACGTAGCTTGTCTTCTTTTCATCATTAGTTTAATTTTGTCCCAAATATAATAAGTAAATGATTCTCGAATTCATAAAAAGCTTCTAGTTCCAGAGATAATTCTCACGATTTAAGAAAAAATAAACTTGTTGGTGCAGGGAAGATTGATGATGTATCTGAGCGTATTGATGATATGGTGGATTATATTTCAGAGCTGGGTTCAAACAAGATAACCTCAGCCTGGCTTCAAGCTGCAACCTGTATTGTACAGAAGGTAGATGTTATTTTAATTTAGGGGACGAATGTTCTAAACCATGCTCATGTTCCAGATCTGTTTAAGTGTCGGGATTGAGCCAAAATACTCTCTTCTTCAGAAACCTTGTAAATTCTGAAATATTGAAAAAATAAAAAATCACATTTATTTTTTATCTTAATCTTAGATGATAAAAATAAGATGCTCGCGGATTTCTACTTAATTGATTGGATATGCAGTAAAAAAGTTTTCGTGAATAATTATCACAGTTACTTTCCTTTAATGGTACAATTGATAATCTTTGATCTAACAGATTTCACTGATAATTACGATAAGAACTTCTTTTTATATTTTTATGTCAATATTTATATTCTGTTCTAGGTAAGCCTGGATGGTGGATGTAGGCAGAAGGTTTTGAAGGCAGGACGGGATAGTTTACTCAGCTCCGCTAATCCAGTAGTTCATATCAACGCTTTAAACCTGCTCTCAGCTCTAGTTAAACCTGAAGCTGAAGAGATCAATACAGAGGTTTCAAACCTAGTTGGAAACTATTCTATGTCACAGGTAAAATAATTATTTAAAGTACAAGAGAACGAGATTAAGTGACCCTTAAGTTATCAAGTACGGAAAATTATTTTCAAATGTATCTTTAATAATTAAAACGCCGCAAATTTCTATTAACTTTGAAAGAAAGCGAACCAGGGCTATACATTTTTTTAGATGGAATAATTAGTTAAAAGTCAACCATTGTGAACTGCTTACGTAACTTGTAGATTGAAGTGCTACGTTTATTTTCCGAATACAGTCTCTTCGATAACATATTTAATAATTGTTTGAACCTAAAATGTTAATTAGTTTAAAGTTAACCATTGTGAACAGAGCTGAAAACTTTAGAATGGTGGATATCAGGATTAAGGCTTAAACCACTCTTTTCAAACTAAGTTTCTTAATATCCAGTTTAAATATTGCTTGTTCTCCACATGAATTTAAACTCCAGAGAAGTTAACCGATCGGATATCTGGATATTTCATTCTAAAGTTTTCAGCTCTGCTTACGTAACTTGTAGATTGAAGCGCTACGTTTCTATTCCGAATACAGTCTCTTCGATAACATATTTAATAATTGTTTGAACCTAAAATGTTATTTTATTAAAGGATGCCAGAGTTCGAACTGCAGCGTTTCATAGTTTGATCACGATACACGGACAGGGAGTTAAACTCAATGTATCCTTGTATCCTGTACTTTGCTCCGCACTGCGAGATGATTATGAAGGAGTTCGTTGTGAAGTTCTCCGGATACTTGCTATATTGGCAGAGACAGAACCAGAACATCAGGTAAAAGGAAGGGTAAAAACTTGGTCTTGTTTATAAAAAAACCTACTGCAGTTTCTGGCATGAATATAAACAAACTCCACTTTCGCGCACGATTTTAACGCTTTAGTACTGAACTAGTTGAAACTCGCTTTTATTATTTATTGTTTGTTGTTGATTGTTGATTAATCCTCAGGAACTCGTATAGAGATATTATTAGGATGATTTTGTTGACTTTTGATGGTCTTTGGGTTTTAGATCAAGATTGACGAGGAGAGCGGTTTTAACCGTTTGGTGGATGATGTATTCTCCCGGATATGCCAGGCTATCAACGATGTCCGCGAACCTGTTCGTTGTCTCGCAGCACAGATCATTGGAACCATGAGCAGAGTAAGCCAAACCTTCCTGGAGCAAACCTTGGATAAGAAGTTGATGTCCAATATGAAGGTGAAAACGACCTCTCATGAGCAGCAGGCGGGTTTAGTCTCCTCCGGAGAATGGAGTTCTGGGAAGAAGTGGGCTGATGATGCTCCCAAGGAGGAGGTTTGCTCCGACTCTGTGAACCTTGTAAGCCTAGGGAGTTGTGGAGCGTTTGTCCATGGTTTAGAGGACGAATGCTTCTCCGTCCGAGTAGCTGCTGTTGACTCCCTTACCAAGCTCTCTATGGAGAATCATAATCTTGCCGTCCTCGCGCTGGATTTTCTAGTCGATATGTTCAACGACGAAATAGAACAGGTTAGGAACTAGAAATTAGATTATTTTCATATTTTAAAATTAATTAAAGACCATATGATATCAATAAAACATTTATTTAGGTTCGCTTGAAGGCAATTGAAAGCTTGACTGCAATTTCCAAACACATAAAGCTCCAGGTATTCAAAGGAGGTTTTTGATCTATCATTGGCTGACAAACAGATTTTTTATAGCTTCTCATCGGTCGAACTGTACTTTACTGTACTATACTGTACTGTACTGTACTGTACTGTACTGTACTGTACTAGTTCACTTATAGGGATTAACAATATTAAAGTTCCGACCTATATATTTTAAAGGTTCATCAGCTGGATATTATCCTGGGAGCCCTGGATGATTATTCAACTTTACTCCGGGAGAAGCTTCATGGAATGCTTCAGGCTTGTACTCTAGCTACTAAGGTACAAATTAGCAAAACTACATAAAAATAAGAACGTTTTTATTTGAACATTCATTTACTTTTTCTAAAGCTGAAATTATGAAAATTAAACAATTTAGCCGCTTTTTATATTTAAGGCCTACTTATTAGAGCAAAATGAAGTTAAAATGAAGTGCTTTGTTTAGGACGGATTGAAGAGTGTGATAAATAAACTTATGCTTAATCTCAAGAAATATCCACAGGTTAGGAAACCTTTAAAACATAATTTGTTTATTGAATTATTGAATTGGTTCGTGATTGTTTGGACTAGAAGTAGTTTGATTATTTGATAGAATAGTCGCACGATTGATTAATTGAAGAATGATTCTATTTATTGTTTGGTTAGTAATTGTTTTATTTATTGATTGATTAAATAGTTGTTTGAACAGTTGCTTGATTGATTGATTGATTGAATAGTGGTGTGATTGATTGATTGATTTAGGATCGTAGATCTATCCTGATAACATTTAAACATCTGGGAGGAAACCATCCAGACCTGACCCTGCCACTAGTAGTTTCTCTCCTTGATATTCATCCTTTCTTTGATACTCCAGAACCTGATATAGAGGATCCAGGTAAGTTCTTTGATACTACAGAACCTGATATAGAGTATCCAGGTCAGTTCTTTGATACTCCAGAACCTGATAAAGATTATCCAGGTCCGTTCTTTGATACTCCAGAACCTGATAAAGAGTATCCAGGTCAGTTCTTTGATACACCTGAACCTGATATAGAGGATCCAGGTCAGTTCTTTGATACACCTGAACCTGATGTAGAGGATCCAGGTCAGTTCTTTGATACACCTGAACCTGATTAGAGGATCCAAGTCAGTTCTTTGATACACCTGAACCTGATATAGAGGATCCAGGTCGGTTCTTTGGTACACATGAACCTGATGTAGAGGATCCAGGTCAGTTCTTTGATACACCTGAACCTTATATAGAGGATCCAGATCAGTTCTTTGGTACACCTGAACCTTATATAGAGGATCCAGATCAGTTCTTAGATATACCAGCCTTCTTTACAGTTGTCAACGCCATCAACATTGATAATAAGATGACTAAACCTTTGGAAATAATTCCTCAAGTGCTTTTTATCTCTGGTTTAGGAAAAAATAATCGATGTTCATTGGGAATAACTTATTTTTGTGCAAAGAGTATCAAAAGTAGGGGGGAAATTTGTGAGTTGATGTCAATTTTTACATTATTTTCTTAAATTCTTCTATTAGATAATTGTAAGAATTGTATGGCCCTCTGTACGTGTTTTTTAATAATGATAATCCAATAATAATTAGGATACCTGTGTACCCTGGTTCTTGTTCTTAATGCTGCTCAACATTGTCCAACCCTGCCCCCACTTCTAGATGATCATACTAAACGTCATCATGCTTATCTTAGGGTAGGTTCTAGTGTATTTACCTTTTCGTTCCCGGCTTAGGCGGAGAAAATTGTAGACAAAGTTTTTTTTAAAATTGAATAATTTTCATATTTTTCATTTTAGGATAAACCGATACAATAATTGTTGCTTTAAATGACCTCATGATTAAATGATAGTCTTAACAACCAATTCCAAAATTAACCTTATCTATATTTTTATAAATGGTTTAAAGATTTAATTCTATTTTGATTTCATGATTTAATTGTTTTTAGGACACATTTCCCCACCTGATTCCGTCTAAGGATGGTAATTCTAGTTCTCCTGGTTTACCCTCTTCAACCTCGGAGTTTATGAACTCCGTCCTCCGTAGGGTTCAGATGTCAAGGCAGAGAAATATCTTCGTTTTAGATCTATCCGACCCATAATTCTGGATGGGATGGGATGGGATGGGATGGGATGGGATGGGATGGGATGGGATGGGATGGGATGGGATGGGATGGGATGGGATGGGATGGGATGGGATGGGATGGGATGGGATGGGATGGGAGGGGTTAGGATGGGACGGGATGAGACAGGACGGGACAGAATGAGACGAGATGGATTTTTCGGAAACTTTACTAGAATTTCTACGTTGTTCACAATTGTTAAGGTTTTGGAAAACTGATTATTCGCCTTAAACTCTTACCTTATATATTTGTAGCCTGATGTGCATTTTAGATATTTCAAAATATGAAATCTGCTAGATCTAATATTCTAAAGTTTGAAGGATCAAAGGGTTTACACCGTAAGGTCTAAAAGATACAGATATTATGAAATTGTAGTTTGATGGGAGTAATCAGTTTCTTTGATTTCCATGTCTTTTGTCCATCTTTTTCATCGAGAGCGAACCTATTTCTCACTTAGTAAAATGTCCTCGGGGAGTCAGATCTCCGTCCTAACGGCCTCCTGCAGGTAATATAATATCAGCCTCGAGCTTTGAAGGTTATCAAAATTTGACATTACTTAATTTCATATTTCATTTCATATTTTTATTCAACTACAAAGCATGAGAAATTACAAATAAGCAATAACAATTTACTGTGCAGTTTGGACCTGCTTATCCAGGGTAGGTTGTTTTGAGTGGTTGGCCCTAAGTTAGTTAATAATAATGAATATAATTGGTTACACACATCAAATTATGGATAAGTAAGGAGTTGATTGGAAGGTAGAAGATTGTCAGCTAGTGATCTGTGGCAAGAGTTAGATCAGAGGCATCAATGTAGAGATAAATTAAAATATTTGGTGTAATGGATGTTGGATACACAAACACAAATAAGCTAATAAAGTTCAGTTTTTTTTAGTTTTTTTTTTATAAAATCTACTCATATGATATACATTATACAACTAGGTTTTTCGCATTTAAACCTCTCATAATTCTCAAGATAAATATTGATTACTCTTTGTTCAAATATTTTTGCAGATTTAGTTTCTTTAAGGTCAATTTCAATTGCATTCCACAACTTAGGAAACATTGCGGACGGAAATCTTTCTAGATTTTTGTTTAAAACCCGTTCTAATTTATACGAGTTTGTTCTTTTTGGTTAAGCTAGGTTATCATGAAAGTATCCATGCATAAATGTCAGAACACTAAGTTTGTATGTATCATCAAGATTAAAAACTTTCAGTTTTGAAAATGATGGATTTGAATCTGCCTTGAAAGTACTATTATTAACCGCTCTGATTGCCTTGTTTTGCAAAGATCTGATTTTTTGCAGTTTAGAGTTTTTAATTCCACCCCAAGTAAATATTCAATATGAGGCCTTACAAGAGAGTTAAATACAAGTAGTTTAATGGTAAGATATTCTTAATTTGAGACAAAGCAAAGATTTAGCTAGCAATTTTATTCGAAATATGTTCAATTTGAAAATCCCAGTTTAAAAATTTGTTAAGTTTAAGTCCAACAAATTTGAAATATTTGTTCAAACAGTCATTACTAATCCTTTCAAGTATCTCATTTCCTATTGATTTATTACAACTAATGGGGTCAAAGTGCATATTTTAATTTCTAAATACCAAGGATTTAATGCAAGGAAAGTAATTTCAGAGGTGTACGCATCTTTTGTACTGCAGTGTACTGTCACTGGGCGGTAATGTAAGCACAAGACGGATGTCGAAGCCTGACATGGGATCCATCTTTCATATAAATAATTAATAAAATATTCTGGTCATAGGAAACTATTATGTGAATTATCAAAATTATCAAAATTTAATGCTTTTAACCTCCTCGGATACTAAACGAACACTGATGCATCTATTCTTGTTTACAAATTCCGCCCAGAGAGAACTGGTTTCAATATGTACGCAGAGTATACGCAACTGTAAATAACGTTCCTTGCATTACATTCTTGCTAAATACTACATACTTTGTTTTGAAGACATTTAGTGTCTGGCTGACACTAGGAGACTGGTAAAAAAAGATGTTTCTAGGGGCAAATCGTTTATATTAAGAAGAAACAGCAGGGGCCCTAGAACACTCCCTTTAGGAACACCACATGTTACAATTTTTTCTGTTGGCAAAACTCCATTTTTACACACATATTGAGTTCTGTTAATAAGATAATTGAGAGATAAAAATATATGGTGACCTTGAGATGTCTAAAAGTTGCTGAAAAAATATTTGAGGCATTTTTTGAGCATTTCTTCATGTTTTAGGGTAGTACACAGCACTATTTTGCAATTTTCATTTTAATGACCAGGTTTTTAAATTTTAGAGAGCTGGAACGAATTGCAAGTATCCAAGCTTCGATTAGTGATCCTGCTTCATTTGCTAGGTTTGTATCTTATGATAAATAAAGGAACTGATCACTCCTTCCATAATCTAACTTAACAGTTTTTATATCTTTGCTGCCTGATGTTTGAAATCTTTGATATTTCAACCCAATAATTCTGCAAAATTAAATAGTTTAAGTCACATTGCATGGAATATACGGATTAGTTCTAGGCGAGTATTTATTTCTTTGACTTCTTGCTCTTTGACCTTTGTCATCTACACATTAACACATTTATTTACATCGTGATCAGAAAACAATAAATAGTTTTTTCTTTAGTTTTAATAATAAGAAATTCATAAATCTTAGCACATTTCTGACTTAAATGAAAGAACAAAAACAACAATCACTCTACAGTTCTAATTAATTTTGCACAATATAAAAATTTAGTTTTACTTACTTTGTTGCTGTGCTTAGGATCCGGATCCAAGGGAAAAAATATTGACCAAAAAACTTCTACTCTAAAAAACACAAATCTCAATTGTTAACTGATCAAAGATTAATAATTAACTTAATAATCTCTAAATTGTTCATCCTCATTACTTTTAAGCATAAAAATAAGCGAATAAAAGAAGAAAAAAATTTAGAAATTTTTAACTTGCTCAAAAACAGTGAAGAAATAACATGACCTTACCAGGATCCAGATAAAAATGAAACGTATTCTATGAATTTATATTTTATATATTATATGTTATTTCTAGTTTGTATATCGAGGCCCAGATCCTATATGAGAAAGTAGTTCGGGGGCATGCTTGGTCTCATCACAACTCCCAACCTGGACCTGGATTAAGGTTTGGATTCTTGTAATCTAGGTCTTTAAATTAGGGCTTTTAAAATTAACTCTATAAGACAGAATTTAGCCCTGAAAAAATGTTATTGGTAGTTTATTTCCTTGTCTGAAAATGTAATGATTTTGTCTGATAAATAAGTACTTTTTAGACGGTAAACGGACACTTACCCAATATGCTTGCAAATTCAAGTCAAATGTGTTCAATTAAAAAATTTTTCAGGGACAATATTCAAAAGTTGAAAGTCATCTCGCAGAAACTTAATTCCATGTTCTCCAACCTAAACCGAGAAAACCAACTATTAATCCGTATTCTCAAACTTAAAATACTTGGAGTAAACCTCGTTTCTGTGGTCACCAACTCCAACAAGAGTGCGCTGGGAGAGACGGACGAATACCTCCGAGAGTTTGACTCTGTCCTCGCCGAACTCTCAACTTCAGAGCTGGCAACCCATGGTTTTATCGGAGATTTCGACAAGTTGAACCTGAGTGAATCCAAACCTGGACTTATTGTGAGTAAAATGAAACCTCTCCTCCTAAAACATCCTCCATCTTGTCTATCCTCAGTATCTCTGGACACTAAGCAGGCTAAAGCTGTGATATTTGAACCTACCGGAGGGTCGGAAACCTCTCTCAAATGCTTGGCAGGACTGGTTCTAGGGATACCTATGGATTGTGAGATCACACACGTCCCTGATATCTCCGCTCTACGTATCTGCATTCTTACAGCGGATCAAGTAACACATCTCTCCGTTCCTAAGAGGGGAGATTTAATTCCGTCTAAGGACGGATTTAGACTTCTTACATCTGCCCTGGTCAGCCATCAGGTAGATATTTTAAGCATTCTATATTCATATATTTTGCTAGTTTGTTTTATCCAATAAACGGCTGAACCAATTTGGTCCAAAGGAATTGAGTCTTTGCCACAAACTCTGATTTTCAAATCCCTATATCTTTACAACCCAATGTCGTAATATTTCAAACTATGCATTTTGTTAAATCAAATAATTTAAGTTTGAAACATCAAAGGTTTACACTATCAGGTTACAAAGATATAGGGGTTAGAATTTTAGAGGTTGTGGCAAAGACTCAATTCCTTTTATGTGGTAACTCACGTTTCTCCAAAGTAAGGTTGAGTAGAAGAATCAGAACTTTTATTTTATTTTCTTTAATTTGGAAAATCCGGTAATTAAAAAAATCAGCGCGATTTGTTATTGTCATTCTTAAATGACCGAAAGGATTTTAAGTAGTATTTTTAGCAATGTTTAATATCTAGGTTTGGTCTGAAGCTCTGGATATTGAGATCTCCCTTGTGTTAGACTTGTGCCCGGCAGGACGGAGTAAAGACCAGGAGAACCTCGTCCCACTCTGTAAACCTGTTAAAGTTAGTGTTCTACCCAGAGCTGTCAGACGTGGAATCTAAATGTGAATAAATATCTCTAAATATATTACCTGTCTCAATTTCTCACTCTTGTAAATATTATGTTTTCAGAAGACCATTTACCAATGTATTGTTTAAAATGTTGAAAAAATGTTGCTCCGTCCCTAGCATACTTTCAAGGCAGGGTACCCTTGTAATCAATCTTCTTCTTTTTATATTCAATATTGTGTATTTTTTATGTTTTATTTTCTATATGAATCTTTGATTACATCTCAATTTCAATGCTTTTTATATCTATGTTTACAAATGATGAAATTTGTCTGTAAATTCTTTAAGCTTGATTACCTGAGGATAGAAGCATATCCACGACTACCCCTGAGTATGATGTCGTGGTCGTTGGAGGAGGTATTGTTGGATTAGCAGTTGCTCAAGAGATTACAAACCGAACCGATAGACTCAAGGTAGAATAGGTCCTAACTCCCGTTAATGGGACTGTTGTTGAAATTTAAAGTAACCTTCTATTTAAAAAAAAAAATTGCACGCCCGATTCACACCGATTAAAGCTTTATTTGAACAAGTGGATTGTGGAAGGTGTCTTCCTTTTTCCTATAATTAATAATTGATTAATACATAATAGTTAATTTCCAAAGAGAAAATAATTGATATCTTGTGCATTTTTATCATAGAAAGCTTTGAAGGACATCGTTTTGAATCGGACATGCCACTCTATAAAATTACGCCTACAGTCCGCTTTTTATTGATAAAACAATCTATTTGCAAAGGTTTACCAACAACAGATGAAATAATGATGACCCAATGTTCTTAAGGTTAATTCTAGTCTTCTATCTTAAATGAAGTTATTTCAAGGAAGGCTAGATAATATGGTAAAGAAATTAACAATTTTACATGTACAGGTAACAATGAATGCAATGCAATTCATATAGTCGTTTTACACTTTGTGGTTAAACCTGTATTTTGATTAAATGGTAGAAGTTTTAATCTTCTAAGGTTTGTGTGCTAGAGAAGGAGCATGAACTTGCCACTCATCAAACTGGTCATAACTCTGGAGTCATTCATGCTGGCATCTACTATACTCCAGGTATACAGGGATATAAGGTTAACTATATAGATACTATTCTTGTCTGTCTGTCTGTATGTGTGTATCCAATTAACGTCTAAAAAGCTTAACCGACCGGGCCCAAATTTTGTGTAGGACCTCACATGACCCCTGGGAAGGTTTATGGATAGTCTGAATTAAAAAAATGCCTTTAACAAAATCAGTGGAACATATTTTAATTCTGGTACACATGGATTGGGTAGCTATGGAAAGTGGTGGTTAGAAATCACTTATTTAACGATTTTCCCTATTTTTACATTTTAAAGTTACAATATATTTGAAGTTTTAGTAAAGGGGTTTTTTTAATATAGGAAGTGTAATGGCTAAACTATGTGTTGAAGGAATGAAGGCGACTTATCAATACTGTGATAATCATAATATTCCATACAAAAAGGCAAGCTTAAAGGGACCGTTCACTTAATTGGGTAATTTCAGGGTAAACTAAACAGCCTATACGCTGTTGATTAGTAATAGTCTTACTTTTCAAAGACAACTGTGGCCGAAGAAAAACCCGACTTTTCGTTCAGAATTCGAGCGCAAAGGGACGGTCCCTCTCTATAGACACTAATTGATATTTTTCAGTATGTTGTGAATCAAAATAAATTTCAAATATAAAATTAAAATGTAGTATCAAATCGTTAATTGTAAATGTCATTATTTTTAAATTTTTTTTGTTTTTTAACTTTCTATTTCTAAAATAACACTATTTTATTGCATTCAAAATTGTGTATTGCCTGTGTAAAAGCTGAATTGAACGCGGCATGACAAATGGAAATTTGTGCACATACGGGAACAAAATCTACAAAATCTACGAACCAAAATACGAGTATTGATTAATTGATTGTCGTAGAGACGTCGTCTTTGTATACACATTTTACATGTTTTATTACGAAAAACGTAAATTTCTCGCTAACTCAAATATCAAAAGTTTTCATATTTTAGTACATAATAACGAACACATAATGACATTAAAATATGATAAATTTAAATGTTATTGGGCTGCTGTTACTGAAAAAAACATCAAATAGTGTCTATAGAGAGGGGACCGTCCCTTTGCGCTCGAATTCTGAACTAAAAATCGGCTTTTTCTCCGGCCACAGTTGTCTTTGAAAAGTAAGACTATTACCAATCAAGAGCGAATAGGCTGTTTTGTTTACCCTGTAATTACCCAAATAAATGAACGGTCCCTTTAAGATAAATATTTTATATATTTGTTGTGAATGCCACTTCAGGGGTCCATATAATTCCATCTGATCAATCCCAAATGTTGATTGATTGATATTAGGGGAAGAAATAGACCATGTTGTTATTGTAAATAATTGGAAGTATAATGTCAAAAAAAAATTCCATACTACAGAATGTTTACTGCAAGGGAGTGTTTATTTTTCTGTATATCATAATTTATCTATCTAACACCCCAAATGCAGTACACATTTCTGAAGTGTAGTACACGTACACAAAAACTTGTCAAAATAAAGTGTACTACTTTCATGCCCCTAAATGTACTTTCAACCCCAATCCCGTTTGGGATCAGAAATGGAATTATATGGACCCATGCCTCAGTGTTTTCTCTAGTTTTACTTTAAAACATATGAACACCCAAAAATGATTTTTTTGTCTAATGGAGATTTATTAATCGGTCAGGTTGGTAAGCTGGTTGTAGCGACAAATGAACTTGAAGAGAAGAGATTAATGGATTTATGGGAGAGAGCAAACCTAAACCAGGTTCCAGGGATAGAGCTAGTAGATTCTAAGTCAGTAAACTAAATTCTACATAAGGATGCTTTTGATGATGTTTGTATAAAGAGTTTGAATGTATATGTATTTATTAAGGGTAATGGTAGATGTCAAAGTCTGCACAGTCAACAAGAATGGGTTCACACCCTTTGCTAATGGTTGATGTCAAAGTCTACTACAGTCAACGAGTATGGGTTCACAACTTCACACCCTTTGCTAATGGTAGATGTCAAGTCTACTACAGTCAACGAGAATATATTTCTACTTTTGCTGAATCAATATGTATTTATAAGTTCAATGAATGCATTCCCAAAAATGTTTTGATTATTTAAGTGCTGACTAATTATCTACTTGTAAATGCACAATGAATGTATATTTAGTTGAGATTTCAATATGTATACTTTGTTTCAAAAAAAAAACGATCAAACAAAATTATCAAACATTATATTTTCAATTGGCTCATAATAAATTTTCTGTTGTGTTTTATTTTAAGCTGAACCATCATACATTATTATTTTGTATTTTGTGTTTGAAAATAAATACTATAACTATAACTATAAAGAAATGAAGCCCGCCTGTAAAGGTGCTAAAGCAATCTGGTCTTGTTTAATTGATTGTTTGATGGATTTTTTAATTAAATAATTGATTTAATATAAAGAGGTATAAATTATAAATGAACGGAGGGAACCCGCCTGTAACGGTAGAAAAGAAATCAGAGACCGAATTTAAAGAATTTGAGACGCGGCTCAAACATGGTTTATATTCAGTGTTTAAAGATTTGAGCCTGCGCTCAAATGGAACCGGTTTTTGGCGGTTCAGCGACGTGGCTGAAATACTTTAAATTCGGCCTTTGGTTTGATTTATTGATTGATTGTGTATATATAAAGGGGTATACAGGAACGGGAGCCCGCATGTAGAGGTACAAAAGCAATCTGGTCTCCTCATACTGGTATTGTGGACTGGGCAAGGCATGGAGAAGAAATTAAACATTTTAATTAATGCATGTTCAATTCTCAAAAGGACCCTTTAAACATTTGTAGGATGAGTGATGAATGAGATATCTACATTTTAGCTAAACATGTATTCTTTCATTTCTCATTTGGGGTTTCACTTTCTAAGTAACTTGCGGATTTGGGCGAACAAGAAAATTTGTAGAATTTATCACTTTTCGAGATAAAAAAAATTCAAACGTGATTCGGACATGACACTCTTCAAATGTGAGGTCACTTAAAATTAGGTCTACAGTCCCTTTAAAGTTTGAGACAGAAACAATGATTGTAAATAATTTAAAAAAAAAACTATCTTTCCGAAGTAAGCAAGGAACTTAGCAATTAACTTGAAGTGGAAAAATAAATTCTTAAGATGTTTGTTTTTATTTCAATTTCTTGTTAAAAGAGTTGCTCGGCATTATGGAACTGTTTTTAAAAGTCGAGGTGGTAAAATCTATACAGGGTTTCAGGTAGATCTAATTGTAATCTTAATTTTTTATTTTATCATCAAATAATTCCAGATGCTCTTTTGTTTATTTAGGCTTCTGAGTTTTCAGCCATTGGTGATACTGGAGTTAGGAAATTTGATTTGTTAACATTTTTTCTTTTTTATAATTAGTAACTTTTTCAATATATTTATAATATTTAAGTTCAACTGAACAAATAATAAATATAGAATACGGAGTACAGAAGGAAAGGAAGTAAGCTGTCAGTATGTACTGGCATGTACAGGTACTGTACTGTCGATATTCAGCTTTAAATTGTTAACATTTTTGTTTGATCTATGCTATTGCTGAAAATATGCGTTTGGTGTTCAATAACATTTTGCGTAAAATGAATGTAAACATTGAACCCTGCATGATTGAAAACATTATGGAGCTTCACTATCGAAACAGTAGACACAAGGCATATTAACAAGGGAGAGAGGGTATAATTAGTTTTAATAATGTGGAATGGGAGCTGACATTTTTTATTTTCATATCTTCCAGGTCTTTATGCTGACCGTGTAGCTGAGTTGACCGGCTGCAATCCTGAACCTAAAATTGTTCCATTTAGGAATTCAATCATTCTCTCAATATTTTTTATTTTAATTACCAAGAGAAACTGAACCATTTTTCTGTGGCTTTTTGAGTAAAGCATTATTGATCTGAGGCTGTAGTTCAAATTTTCTGATTTTCTTTGTGCTTATACTTTTTGCTGTAGTTCTTAACCAAATGCCTGAACCTTCAGGCACTCTGCCCAAGTGCCTAAACTACTTTTTTCTCTGTGCCAAACTAAATTTCTATATTTAAACCCCTACCAGCTTTTAGAAAGCCCCTGAAATGGGGTTTGAAAAAAAATATTTTACACCTTTTGCAAAGTGAATTTGAAGCTTTTTTCACAGAAAAGTTTACAAACAGTTTTGCTTGTTTGAAATTGCAAAACATTGTTAAAGTCCAATTAGATCTGTACCTTTTACTGACATGAGTGTGTTTGGATGCAGAGGAGAATACCTTCTACTCAGCCCGGAGAAATCTAAATTAATCCGAGGAAACATTTACCCGGTTCCAGATCCGAGGTTTCCATTTCTTGGAGTACATTTCACTCCCAGGTTTGTTACTCCTACAGGTTTTTTTATTTGATTACTTTAAGATAATACAAAAAAAAACTCGGGATCTGAAACTGATTCTGGACTAATACTAAACCTGAAACTAAAACTTAAAACCTGGACTAAGGCCCAAACCTGAAACCTAAAATCTTGACAAAAAGATCAACCTTAACCAAAAATAAAACCCGGAACAAAACAAAACCAGAATCTATACCAAATTCCTGAATCTCAGCCCGACTTAAACCTCATCAAAAATAAAAACAAGTTTTACCATCAAATAATTTTTTCCGTAGAATGAACGGAGAAGTTTGGTTGGGGCCTAATGCAGTTTTAGGTAAATTTACAGCACCTTTAACTGGATAAAAATGGATTTAATGTTTAGTTGAAACTAGATAAATTAAAATTTTTTAATTTTTAGGTTAAATTATTAAATCAATATTTTAGCAATGTCACGTGAGGGATATAGTTGGGGGCAGGTCAACCCACGTGACCTTGCTGAGGTTCTTGTATATCCTGGTTTTTACAGGTACAGTGAACAGGGTACACCTTAAGAACCAACAACCAGATGAGTGAGATGTTTGTGTGTCCCGTTAAACAAAAAATGGATAAAATCTAGTGAAAAATCATTGCTAAATTGTCAAGTAGTGTTTTTAAACGTTTTTTTTAAATTCAGCAAAACTGTAGATGTTAAAATTTGCTTTTATTAAACTTTGCAATATCTTTATCCTACAAAAAATGAAAGAAAAAAAATCCAAAAACGATCGTTACAAAACGATAGTTTTTGCACCGTTTTTGGTTCGTTTTTAAGTCGTTTTTTGACATATATCTTTTGTCAGGGTCCAAATTTAACATAATGTAAAATAACAAATGCCTAGAATAAACAATTTAGAAAATATTTTCTCTTCTAACACTATGCCAAAATTTAACTCTAAAAGAAAGAAAAACGAATTAACTAAATAAACAGCATAACCTGAAAATAATAGAGTAGGACTCGACTAAACCTCCGTGAAAAGTTTAAATTCCTGTTTTAATCAGGTTGGCTCAGAAATATCTTGGATATGGTTTGGACCAGATGCTCGGTTCCATCTTTATTAGGAGAGCAGTGAAGGAGTTGCAGAAATATGTTCCACAGGTAGGTTACAAGATTTGAACCCATCGCAGCATTTATGAAAGAAAGGATGGATGCTTTTCAGATTTAAAATTTTAGAAGGGTTTTCCATAAAGAATGTTTTTGGATTATTCGGAGATGCAATTTATTTATTCCTAGCTCAGAAATTCATGGTTCACTTTATGCACGAGTTCACGACTTCACGAGCTTAAAGTAGGAGATTGAATTTAACCTTATTAATATTGTTGTATTTCAATAGTATTCGTTCTTTATTGTTCTCCATAAACCTTTTATGCTTTTGTAGTGTCAATATCACTGATGAAATTTGTCTGTTATATTTGTATTGAGGTCAGATTTAATATATAACGAAAAGTAGTTGTTGGGATAGGTATGGATTCTGAACGATTACTTCTTAAGTGCACTCTAGTCGATATTAGGGAAGTTGTTTTACTAGCTGTACCTTCAGTTTAACTACTTCTTGATATTCATTAATTTATTTCTGAGGTTGAGGTCGAAGATATATCCCGAGGTCCTGCTGGGGTTAGAGCTCAGGCCATGAACTCCTCTGGGAACCTCGTCGGCGACTTTATCTTCTCTAGGGGGGAGGGAACCATCGGAGCCAGGAACACCAGAAAATATATTTTTTATTATTACTCTCATTATTCATGAGTACGCCCCTGCTGTTTAACTCAAGTTTTGATTCTAAATAATTGATTGCTCCCAATCTTAGTTTTTAAAAATTTGTTCAAATTTAATATTATATTTTTCAAAAATTTAAAGCAAATGCATCATATAATTGTTATTTTTGGTTTCAGAGTTCTGCATTGTCGAAATGCACCTTCTCCTGCTGCAACAAGTTCTCTTGCAATTGCACAGATGATCGTAGACAAGATGAACACAGAGTTTAATCTAAATCTCAGAGTTTAATCGGAATCTTAGAGTTTAGTTTAATCCAACCCCTTGTGTTTAATCTGAACATCGGAGTTTAATCTAAACCTAAGTGTTAAAATTAATTTTCACAGTTACATCTACATCTTAGAGTTTAATCCAAAATCAACCTCGAGAGTTTTATTTAAACCTCAGAGTTTTACCTAAACCTCAAAGTTTTATCCAACCCCCAGAGTTTAATCTAAATCTCAGAGTTTAATTTAAACTTCAGAGTTTAATCTAAATATCAGAGTTTAATTTAAACTTTAGAGCAGATTTTAATCTAAACCTTCAAATCAAATCTGAATCTTAGAGTTTAATCTAAACCTTCAGAGTAAAAATTAGATAACTCAATGTGTTAGTTTTACTTATATGCAAGCAAGTGCTAGTCTAGTTTAAAAAATAGTTAATTGTTCTAACTGTTGTACATTAGTCAATTATATTTACATATTTATAAATTGCAATTTTATTTGATGTGTAATTCTTTTGGGTATATAAACCTGCATTAATAATACACTCAGACATCCAAACTATTTGTTCTAGAGACACAGTATACCAGAATTTGTATAGAAGGGCTGATATATGTCAAACTTTACGTATGGTGAGGATACCCCCTGGAAATTCAGTTTTATCTCATCCAGGGATGTGGATCCCCCTCCACCCCCGTTATAAGATCCTGGAAATAAAATGTAGATTAAATTGAATTCAAACTATATCAGAATGTAAAAAGAAAATTGAGCCAATTATGAAGAGGATTTGAGCTTTATGTTTCTAATATTAAAGAGGATTTGAGCTTAATGTTTCTAATATTAAAAAGGATTTGAGCTTTATGTTTCTAATATTAAAAAGGATTTGAGCTTAATGTTTCTAATATTAAAAAGGATTTGAGCTTTAGGTTTCTAATATTAAAGAGGATTTGAGCTTTAGGTTTCTAATTTTGAAAAGGATTTGAGCTTAATGGTTCGTAATATTAAAAAGGATTTGAGCTTAATGTTTCTAATATTAAAAAGGATTTGAGATTAATGTTTCTAATATTAAAGAGGATTTGAGCTTAATGTTTTCAATATTAAAAAGGATTTGAGCTTAATGTTTCTAATATTAAAGAGGATTTGAGCTTAATGTTTCTAATATTAAAAAGGATTTGAGCTTAATTTTTCTAATATTAAAGAGGATTTGAGCTTTATGTTTCTAATTTTGAAAAGGATTTGAGCTTAATGTTTCGTAATATTAAAAAAGATTTGAGCTTAATGTTTCTATTAGAAGGAGTAATTACTTTATCCATGATAAAAACCATCTCCTTCTACAACTTAAACTCTTCCACCTTTATATCTACTCCCTATATATAAACAGAAAATGTGTTCTCTACAGTAGACGGAGTAATTACTTCATCCTTGATAGAACTCATCTCCTTCTACTCAAACTCTTCCACCTTAATATCTTCCTCCTGTATATAAACAGTATATGTATTCTCTACAGTAGAAGGAGTAATTATTTTATCCTTGATAGAACCCATCTCCTTCTACAACTTTAACTCTTCCACCTTTATATCTTCCTCCTGTATATAAACAGAACATGTATTCTCTACAGTAGACGGAGTAATTACTTTATCCATGATAAAAGCCATCTCCTTCTACAACTTAAACTCTTCCACCTTTATATCTACTCCCTATATATAAACAGAACATCTGTTTTCTACAGTAGACGGAGTAATTACTTTATCCATGATAAAAGCCATCTCCTTCTACAACTTAAACTCTTCCACCTTTATATATACTCCCTATATATAAACAGAACATGTATTATCTACAGTAGACGGAGTAATTACTTTATCCATGATAAAACCATCTCCTTCTACAACTTAAACTCTTCCATCTTTATATCTTCCTCCTGTATATAAACAGAACATGTATTATCTACAGTAGACGGAGTAATTACTTTATCCTTGATAGAACCCATCTCCGCCTCCAACTTTAACTCTTCCACCTTTATATCTACTCCCTATATATAAACAAAACATGTGTTTTCTTATTTTATTAAACTATTGTGCACTTTATCGTGCATGCTCACTTTATAATAAATTTAATTTTAGTAGTGCTATAAAGTAATAATCGTGCTATTATGTTAAATGAGCTGTATATTATAGCACTGTGCTTGATTTGAAAAAATGTTTTGAGATTTGTTTTGCAAAAAATTTTATTTTTACATTTAAAACATTCAAATATTTATTACAATGAAAACACTACAAACAACAATTCTACTCTTTTCAAACATTACATATTTATATTTCCCTGCAATTTATTCATAATAATGACCCTTTTTATTGCTCTGAATAATTCTTTCTATATCCATGCAGTGCTATGTGCATGGAATGAGTCTCTGAGAAGCTGACCTTCATGATATCTTGTCTAACTGAGGAATCTTGAGAATCAATAAACTCTGCCTCCTCTTTCATTCTCCTGCTGGAGTAGATTCAGCGCTATTCGGTAATGTGGCAATGTGATTAACAGCATTCCTGCTTGTGCTTATGTATTCCTGGGTCATGTCCACTAATTTCCATCCAAAGAAATAGTTAATCTGCGCTGCAGGGTCGCACCAACATCAGCAGCGGCAGTACCAGGAAGGTGTAGTTCTCAGGTTTTCCAAGACTCCCAGCAACATCGCGTGGAATTGAGGCCAAAATGTTTAACCCAGGGGCTGGTTAACAAGGATAGAACCTATGTCTGTAAAAAAAAAACTCTTCCTGAGAATTTCTAAACATCATCTTGTACTTTTGCTAGATAAGTTTCAAGTATCTTAGCCCAATCCGTCTTTCCTGTTGATCCTCTAGGAACTAAAAACGTTAAGGATTGTCTGATCTGTTTCACACGCTCTTGAACAACGTAAACTCGATCCTTGTGGTGAGAAAAACGTTCTAGACTCAGATCCATGACTTCAGACCTCCTAAGACCTCCAAAGTAGGAAACAACAACAGCTTAACGAACCAGCCAGAAAGCATCATCAAGCATTTCGTATTCAATGAATAGTACCAAGTCTTCTTTGTAAAAAAAATCTTAGCTTTCTTTTTATATCACCGTTGAAGGAGTTTAGGTAGGTTGAAACTCTGAGATACTCCTGAAGCTTTTCCCCATACTTAGCCTTGACGATGCTATTGATCATAGATTCAAAGTCCAGAGAGATGAAGATGCTTGATTCTTTTCGACTCTCAGAAGTTTGAAATAAGAAAGAAGCTGGGTTTCACTCGGCACTTGAGTTTCTAGTTCATCAGCTTGGAAACAACAACTTTATAGCACGTCGTACCAAAATAACAGTGTTATAAATAGTTATTCCAACCTTTATTCATTCCAACTTAGACCATATGCTCCGGAAAAGAAACTATTTTATATAAATAATTAACTCTTACAAAATAATTTTACTACTTAAAAATTGTCGAAATAGTACTTCGTATCTTTTGTTTGTGTTTACTAAACAAAATACGTTGTGTGCTGTAGTTAAATATTATAACAAGGAAAACATTTATTTCCTCATGTTTACTCTTAACATGACTTTTATGATGCTCGATCCTGAGATTTACAATAAAAAATTCTGACTTCAAGAGTGATTAATAAACTGTATATCCTCAGCAGAAGAGGATTGATCCTTAATATTTTCTTCAAATATTTTCCACCTTTATTTCCTCCTTTCAGTTTCCGGCCATCATCTCGGTAAAGGGAAAATATTATTAAAATTCATCTAGTTCTTTAATTCATTTTTTATACGTAGGGTTCAAAACTTTTATCAAGAAACCAATTCCAAATTTTCACTAACGTCAAAACGGCTGTACCGATCGGACCTCAATTATGTGCGGGACCTGGCATGACCCTAGGGAAGGTTTATGAACGCTCAAAAATACAAAAATTTGTGTGCAATTTGTTTTAATTTAGCTAAATTTTGAAAATACGCGAAAAAAAATATTTATAAATCTGCGAACTTTTCTTTTTTATTGTACAAAGAGAAGATGCTCACAGAAAGAGCCATAATTAAAAGTTGAAATAGAAGTCTAGTTACATAAATATCATGATTTATGGTTACTCATGATATGGCTTTCAAATTGCTTATGTCCGTTGCAGCGTTTTCACATCTCTTTTAAGAATATTCCATTTAATAATGTTTATTCCTGATATGTCTTTATGAATTACTTGCGTCTGTTGTAGCGTTCTCACATTCATGACAAGGATATCACACTCCACACCATGCTTATTACTCTCAGTATGGCTTTACAGATTATCTGTTGTAGTTACGTATCACAGAGATACCTTCACCTTAGTGCTTACTCTTTATATGTCTTTTAAGTGTACTTGGTGTGGTTGCAGCGTAGTTACATTTATCACAGGGATACCTCACACCTTCATGTTTACTCTCAATATGAACTTTAAGACTTCTTGCTGTAATTCCAGCATAATCGCATTCTTTACACGGATATCTCACTCCTCTATGTTTATGCTCTTTATGTTTTTTAAGGTCATTGGGTCTTGTTGCTGCGTATTCACATTCATCACAAGGATATTTAAGTCCATCATGCTTACTTGCAATATGTATTTGTAAATTACCGAGGCAAGTTGCAGCGTATTCACATTTATCACAAGGATATCTCACTCCGTAGTGTATATTCTCTTTATGACGTTTAAGATGATTTGGTCTGGTTGCAGCGAACTCACATTGATCACAAGGATATCTCAATCCTTCATGTTTACTTTCGGTATGTCTTTTCAGATCCCCTGCTGTAGTTGCAACATGTTCACATTTATCACAAGGATATCCTCCTTCATGAATATTCTTAATATGTTTGTTGAGTTGAATTCGACCAGTTGCATAATACTCACATCTATCACAAGGATAGAGCACTTCTTCATGTTTAATCTCAATATGTATTCTTAGATTTCCTCGGTGTGTTGCAACGTATTTACATTTATTACAAGGATATCTCAGTCCTTCATGCTTATTTTTAATATGTTCTCTGAGATGATGTAGCCTAGTTGCAGAATACTTACATATATCACACGTATATCTTACTCCTTCGTGTTTACTCTCAATATGCATCTTAAGATATCGTGATGTAGTTGTAGTGTACTCGCATTTATCACAAAGATATCTCACTCCTCCTTCATGTCTTCTCATAATATGAAATCTGAGATGATTTGGCCTAGTAGCAGAATATTCACATTTATCACATGGATATCTTACTCCTAGTTTCCTCTTGGTTATCTTTGATCCAACCAGCAGAGGATTCTCTTCTTTTAGATCTATTTCGCCTTAAAAATACATTTTATAATTGAGTTGAAATTGAAAATTTTATAGAATACCCGAGAAGTTCCTCTTTAAGGAAATAAGCGAGTTAGAAGTAATTATATGTTATTATTACCTGTTATCTCAGTATTGTCCATCTTAACATCTTCTTCCTTTATATATACAGTACATGTATCCTTTTCAGTGAAATAGTAATGTACTTCCTCCGTTATACAAACATTCTCTTCTTTAATCTCTTCCTTATTTAGTTCTTCTTCTTGTACATATACAGTGCATGTGTCTTCCAAAGTACATGGAAGGATAATTTCTCCCTTTACAGAACCTTTTTCTTCTTTCATCTTTAATTTTTTAACCTTAAATTCTTCCGATAGTTTTAACCATTCTCTCTGAAATCAAACTATTATTAATAATTGAAAACAGTCAAGAAATATTGAAAATAGTTAGTAAATATTTCTATAAATATAAATACAAATGATTATTGATTAAAAAGTAAACATGTCAGTGGGTGAGGGATGGTGGGGGGGGGGGGTCGGGGCGAGGCGTTGACATCTAAAGCAAACATGAGCAACGTTGGTATTACAAGAGGTAATAATAATACTTTTATTAAATCAGTTACCTTTAATATAGAAATATTCAAGAATTCAATTCAAGACAGAATAAGAAATAGATTTGTATGAATCTTGATATAATTTTGATACAAATCATGAATTGATTCAAATCATAATTCTTGATACAATCTCGACAAGATTTCTGACAATAAATTTAAGCAAAAACTTATCTTTCTTGTGTGTTCAGAGAGTCCAGAGCCTGTTTCAGTTTAAACCTTAAGTTTAGACTTTTATGAATTAGATTTTTTTTTGATTATTTGGTTGCGCTGCACTCACATTTCTTACAAGGATAACTCAATTTTTAAGATTACTCTTCAAAAAACTTCGTCCGTTGCAACGTAAACGCATTCATGACAGGAATCTATAACTCATTTATGTTTACTATTGAAGTCTTTTTAATTTACTTGCTTTTGCTTCAACATTCTCACAGCTATCCCAATGATATCTCACTACTTTATGTTTACCATCAAATGTCTTCTAAGATTGAGATGCAATATATTCACATTTGGTGAAAAGATATCTCACTCCATTATGTTTGGTCTCAATGTGAATTTTGCAGAGGATGGAAGAATTTCTCCCTTAATCTTAACATTTTAATTATTCACAATTCACATCTTCCTTTCAGTTGCCGGGCAGTCTCTCTGCAATAATTCGAATATTTACAAATAGAAAACATATTTACTAAAACCTTGTGCATTGTCATATTGACTAAAAAATAAACAATAATATTTGATAAAGGGTTTGAAAATTTAAATGGTAATTATCTTTTCTCTTTTAAAAGAGGAGCGTCAGCCGTATTGGGGCCAAAAAATAATCCTGGAAACCATAGATGTCACGGATCCAGGAGGGGGGCTGGGACACTCATAGGCCTGGTTCCATACTTGAAAAGTTTTACTTGTACATTAAGTGAGAATAGGGCGGTGAAAGAAAGAGAACAGACAGTTTTCTTTAGTAAAAAATTTGCTGAAAAACGCCAAAATGTTCGAAATAATCTTAAGGGGTGGTGAGGGGGGGGGGCGGAGGAGGATAGGATCAAAGATGGGGGCATTTATTAACATTCCTTTGCCCGGAATTACAATATAATAAGAAAATATTTGATAATAAAATTAGTTCTTTAGTCATAGAACATTTATATTTAAAGAAAGTTATGTTTTCTTTTTTTAAAGAACTGCTTCTTTTCTTGCGACTTACTTGCATTTATCACAAGGATATCTCACTCCTTGCGATGGACTCTCTTTTTATGTACTCTAAGATTATTTGCTTGTGTTGCAGCGTATTTACATTCATCACAGGGATATCTCAATCCTTCATGTTTATTCTTAATATGATCCCTAAGGGCTCTCGCTGTAAATGCAATGTAGTCACATTTATCACAAGGATATCTCACTCCTTCGTGGTAACTCTTGCAATGTCTTTTGATAGCAATTGCCTCTGTTGCAGTGTACTCACATTTCTTGCAAGAATATCTCACACGTTCATGTTTACTCTTTAAATGTCTTTTTAAATTGTTTACGTTCATTGCAGAGTAATCACATTTATCACAAGGATATCTCACTCCTTCGTGGTAACTTTTACAGTGTCTTTTGACAGCACTTGCCTCTGTCGCAGTGTAGTCACACTTATTACAAGAATATCTCACTCCTTCATGTTGACTCTCAATATGTCTCTTAAGATGATTTTTGGTATCAGCAGCGTACACACATTTATCACAAAGATATTTCACTCCTTCATGCTTACTCATAATATGTCTTCTAAGCATACTTGCTGTAGCTGCAGTATGCTCACAAGTAGTACAAGGATACCTTACTCCCTCATGTATGCTCTTAATATGTTGCCTTAGATTATTTAATGTAGTTGCAGTGTACTCACATTTATCACAAGGATGTTTCATCTCTTCATGTTTACTTTCAATATGTAATCGAAGATGAGCTACTTCTGTTGCAACATATTCACATTTATCACAAGGATATCTAGTTCCTTCATGTTTACTCTTAGTATGCCTTTTTAAAATATTTGCTGTATTTGCAGTGAAGTCACATTTATTACAATGATATCTTACTCCTTCATGTTGATTTTTACAATGCTTCCTAAGATAACTTTTCGTAGTTGCTGCGTACTCACATTTCTCACAGTAATATCTAACTCCTTTATGTTTATTTTCAATATGTGTTTTAAGATCATTCTTGCGAATTGCAGTATACTCACATTTATCACAAGTATATCTCACTCCTTCGTGATATCTTTTAATATGTCTTCTAATTTCCCAGGTTGTAGTTGCAGCGTATTCACATTTATCACAAGGATATCTCACTCCTTCATGATAGCTTTTAATATGTCTACTAAGATCCCAGGTTGAAGTTGCAGCGTATTCACATTTATCACAAAGATATCTCACTTCTTCTAGTTTCCTTTCCTTAATTATCTTTGATCCAACCAGCAGAGGATCCTCTTCACTAAGAACTAGTTCATCTGAAATTAACATTTAAATTACTTAGTATTATTTAAAATATAAGAGAATAGTATTAGTCACATTTTAGATGCAGCATTACCTGTGACCTCAGTATTTTCCGTTCTAACATCTTCTTCCTTTAAAAATACACATGTATCCTCTACAGTACAGAATGGAAAGATTTCTTCCTGAATTTCTTCTTTCATGACAATAATTTCTACATTTTTTTTCATATTTCCAGCCATTTTCTCTGAAAAAATTCCTTATAAATTATTTGGGTCATTTGAATGTTATTAAATATATCAACACTTATCTGATATGTTACCATGGTTGAATATATCTATTTGTCATTGTAATGGGTATTAAGTGCGAAAAAGATTTTGCCGGGGTAGTTATTTTTTCTAGCTTGTTTAAAATCAAAATATCAAAGATCAAATATCAAATTTCCCCTCTTATTCAGCAATTATACAACTTACAAATCTCAAAAAAATCCTTAAAATTCTCTACAATAGTGCAAATTCAGCTCAATTCAGCCTGTCACTCCCTTTAATTGAATCATATTAGAAATATTTTACACAGGGTGCTTTTTAAAAAAAACCTGGGAATATTCCTTACTTGGGTTACTTGGTTGTTGATTCCTTGCGCTCCATGGGGAACATTGTAGGAATTTCTTTTTGGACATCAGAAAGGTGCTCAGGTCTCACCATTAACCATGTTCAACAGTATGGTCATCACGCACTTATGCTTGCAACCAGTTCTAATATCAACAACATTTCAAATTTAATTAGTTGATTTTGAGCTTAAAATAACCATTATAAAGTTTCCACTTTGAGCAAGTAAATTTGGCAAAAATAGATTATTCCTGTTTACAACATTTTAAAAATATTCATTTGATTATTACAGGATAGAGTTGTCTGTAGAAGGCTATTATAATAACATGATTTGCAAGCAAATTTTCTTTATCTGAATGATGCTATACTGATTGGACTAATAGCCGATTGAACTAACGTCAGGTGTTCACAACCCCGCTTTTAGCCCATTCAAACATTAGTACAAAACAAAAATTAAATATATTAAAATAAACTAATTTAAAACAAATAAAAATATTTTTTAACACATGGGCATCATCATTTGGAGATCTTTAGCCGCAGCGCCGGTCTCCTAGCCTGTCACGCTCAGCCAACTAGCATGTCCTAGCCGCTGCGATCGGCCAATGGCCTGTCCAGCCGCATCGCTCAGCCAAGAAATTGTCGTAATGTAACCTAAACCTAAAATATAAATATTACATCATATTTTTTGGAAAAAATACTTTTTTAACATGTACTTTGCATTTATTTCAATTTCAATATTTTATTTTAATTTTCTACAATATTTTTAAATTTCTATATGAAATCAGATGGAAACATTTTGAGACTTCTATATTTCTTTTTGATCGTTCATTCCTCGTCCATCCTTCAATCATACCTTGGCTAATTTTGAAAATAAAAATAAATGAATTTTTTGGATGATCCTCCAACTAGCCAAATAGCAAGAGAAAGAACTATTTTTCCGAATCCTGTATTTCGGACCTAGCACAATGAGAGGAATGAGAGGAGACAATTATATATTCATTTCCATGATATCCCCTTTTTTGATCATCGCTTTAAGGTAAACGTCTATATTTAGATGTATTTTTCGGGTCTAGTTATCGCCTGTAGTAGATCTGCAAGCAATATTACGGACTGAACTGTGAAATTATGTTTGTTTTTAAATAACAAAGCACTGCCTTTAATGTATCCAAAATTATTGTTATTGAAAATTTTCAATGCAAGGAAATTTAATATCGATATTTTTATAATTTATAGAATCTTACCTTGATAAAGTGGACTTATCTCAACCTTTAAAGGGACAGTAAAGGAAAAATGAAAGGGGGTATAGGCTGAAAGCTAATCACATTAGCTCTTGATCGCGACCCATGAAAGTTTTATCTGATGTTACTACAGGGTGTCCCACGAAACATGACAATAGCAAGACGACTTGAAAGTCGTCTTTGGTATTTGAATTTATTTGTGACATTTAGTCTTCTATCTACTTTAACATGTATGATTCTTGAAACAACTATCACATAATTCTCCTAGCCCTGGCATTTCCAAAAAGTGGTCTGCGTTTTTTGTGCTTTCAATATTACTGGAGATATAAAGAGTTTGGTTCAGATTTCAATTTTGTTAAATAAAAACAAAATTGTCCAAATCTGAACGAAATTCTTCATATCTCGGGTAATATTGGAAGCACACAAAAAAGGCAGACCACATTTTGGAAATGGCAGGACAAGGGAAATTTTGTGATTCTCATCTCTAGAAATTTACTTCTAAAATTAGGTTGAAAAATAAACGCAGCAAATTATATCAAAAATCAAGACGACATTCAAGTCGTCCTGCATACTGTCATGTTTCGTGGGACACCCTGTATCTCGAGAAATTGATATAAAACTGTGTTAAAATCATACGAAAGTTCATATATGTAAAATTTAGAAAATCTTCAACTTAAATCACGTGACCAGAACTATCACCAATGGCAGAGCAGTATACTGATCACGTGTCTCTGCCTGTATCACGTGACCACTTTACTGCACTGTCATTGGTGGATTTTCTGGTCAAGCAATTCGGACGTGTAAATAATATTATGAATTAAATCTATTAAAAATAGAAATAACAAATATAAAATTAGAATTGGAGTAAACCTAAGTAATAATTAGCTTTCTCAGGGATATTATCGTTTTCAGATTGGTTGTTTATTTGCTGAATTTGATCTATTTAAACCCACTACTTTTATACAAAATTGTATATATATTAATTTTCGTATAAATTTGACACAGTTGTAAATCAATTTCTCGAGATAGGAACATCAAATAAAACTTTCATGGGTCGCGATCGAGAGCTAAAGTGATTAGCTTTCAGTCTATACCCTCTTTCATTTTTCCTTTACTGTCCCTTTAAATAAACAGTACAAGTTTCCTGTAGAGTAGAGGATGGAAGGATCTCAAAATTTTCACTCTTTATTTCTTTTCTCTCTCTGAAATATTGCATTTAATTGTAAAGAAACCTAAACTTGTAAATAATTAAATTATGTGTATTTGTAAAGGGTTTCAAAGCCATTGAAACAAGTGCAGAATTTAACTTTATAACAATCTGCAATCTCTGCACGCAGATTTTGAATATCTTTTCAGAGTTGATTAAACTTGATATTGGACACTAAGGTTATAAAGATTTAATAATAAAGCAAAAAGAATCTAATAAAAAGTAATCAAAATTAGCGTAAATCGATCAAAATACATGTTACAAGGCTTTAATCTTAACTTCTAATTATTACACAATTATCGATTTTTTTTCATGGATTTAGAAAAATCGAAATTTGTTAAGGCAATTTTACTCATTTCTAACCATCCATAAACCTTGCCTGGGATTAAGCGAGGCCCCACAAAAAAATTAGGCCAGATCGGTTTAGCCCCTTTAACGTTTATCGGTTACAAAAATACGGGCAAGCAAAATATAAATACGTTGATACGTTGATACGTTGATAGTTTCTCCGCCAAGGTCCTGCATCATGCAAGAATGAAGTGGCGGGTCAGGTCATCATTTATTGTTCTGGATCCATGGCTGCATTTCTATGCTCATCATAACTGTTTTTAAAAGCATAAAGGGTCGTGGACCCCTTTACTGCCTCAGGCAGTTGGTTCCAGCCTTTAACAACTCTAATAGAAAAAAAGTTTTTTCTTATGTCCAGGTTTGTTCTCTTCATCTCCAGGTTGAATATAGATGAATTCAACCTTGTGCTAACTGTAGAGGCTGAATTTAACCTAGTAAACCAGGTTTTTTCGCAAACATCATCATGCTGGTGCAATATTTTCCAGGTTTGTATCATGTCACCTCTTCTTCTTCTCTCCTCTAGGGAGGGTAAGCCTAATTCTTTCAGCTTGTCTTGGTAGGTATATTATATATAGATTACATCGTAGATAAATCAATAAATGGATATCAAACTCATTCATGTTTACATGGATTGTTAGATGGATTGTTTTTGGGGCCGAATACTTCCACTTGTCACAAGGATATTTCATTTTGCATGCTTTCTCTCAATATGTTTCTTAAGTGAACTTTTTGTAGCCGCAGCAAACTTACATTTGTCACATGGATGTTTAATTCCTTCGTGTTTATTCGCAATATGTTTTCTTAGATTGCCTAGGCCAGATGCGGCGTACTCACATTTATCACAAGGATATCTCATTCCTTTGTGTATATTCTCTTTGTGACTTTTAAGATGATTTGACCTAGTTGCAGCGAACTCACATAGGTCACAGGGATATCTCACTCCTTCATGTTTACTCTCAATATGTATTTTAAGAACCCTTATTGTAGTTGAAGCGAATTCACATTGATCACAGGTATATTTCACTCCTTCATGATTATTCTTAACGTGTCTTTTAAGATAGTTAGTTGATGTTGTAGTGTAGTCACACTTATCACAGGAATAGATCACCCCGACATGTTTACTCTCAATATGTATTTTTAAACTCTGTGCTGAGGTTGAAGCAAACTCACATTCATGACAAGGATATCTCACTCCATCATGCTTTATCTCAATATGTTTCTTAAGGTCACTTGCAGCAGTTGCAGTGTGCTCACATTTGTCACAAGGATATCTCACCCCCTCATGCATACTCTCAATATGTCTTTTAAGATGATTTGTTCTAGTTGCAGAATACTCACATTTATCACACTGATATCGTTTTTCTTCTAATTTCTTCTTCTTCTTCTCTAAAGATGGAAGAGGATCTCTCTTATTTACAAGATCTAAATAAAATATATGAAAATTAAAATTTTAAAACTAAGATTGCTTATGTATTGGAATTAGATATTATTAAATCAAGTTACATCTTTACCTAATTTCCATCCAATACAGTTGGTAAAGCTTTATATTACAAATCAGGGTAGGTATATTCTAAGGTTTACCTTGGGATTCATTCTTTATATCTTCCTCCTTCATATAGACATTACATGTATTCTCTACAGTAGAGGATATAAGGATTTCTTCTTTAATGTCAACGTTTTCTATCTTTATTTCCTCCTTTAAGTTTTCGGCCATTTTCTCTGAAATATTCTATATTCTAGAATGCATTTAGGTTAAGTCTTCTGAGACGCCGCAGGCTGAATACACAGTTGGGAAGTTGCCACTTGGGAAAATACCCTTTGGAAGTTGCCGCTTAAGGAAAAACTTTCGGCAAAATACATCGTATAAACGATTTTCATTTAAATCACTTATATTGGACCTAAACCCCTCCCAGTTTGTGTCTTAAACCTGCAACTAAGGAAAATAAAGAGTGGTTTTATTAATTACAAGATTATTTTACTTCTCCGTGCTTGAGTTCTATGTGTAGTTTAAGATGATCTGCTCTTGTTGCAGAGTACTTGCATTTATCACAAGGATATCTAACTCCATCATGTTTAATTTTCATATGTCTTCGGAGACCACTTGATGTTGTGGCTGCGTACTCACATTTAATGCAAGGATATCTTACTCCTTCATGTTTACTCTCAATATGGCTTTTAAGATGACCTGCTTGAGTCGCAGAATACTCACATTTATTACAAGGATATCTCACTCCTCCGTGTTTACTGTCAATATGGCATTTAAGGGTATTAGCGCTTGTGGCAGCGTACTTACATATATCACAAGGATACCTTAAACCTTCATGTTCACTCTGAATGTGGTGTTTAATCCTTTTCGCTGAAAATGCGGTATAGTCACATTTATCACATGGATATATTACTACATCATGCTTACTCTCAATGTGTCTGGTGAGATTACTTGCTTGTGTTGCAGTGTATTTACACCTATCACAGGAATATGTCACTACATCATGCTTACTTTCAACATGTCTTCTTAGTGAACGCGATGTAACTGCAACGTAATCACATTGATTACAGGGATACCTCTTTCCTTCATGTTTACTCTCAATATGAATTCTAAGACTATTTGCAACATTTGCAATGTATTCACATTTATCACAAGGATATCTCACCCCGTCATGTACATTCTTACAATGTCTTCTGATATCACTAACTGTAGTTGCAGTGAACTCACATTTCTCACAAGAATATCTTACTCCAATGTGTTTAATTTCAATATGTCTTTTAAGATTCCTTGCTATAGTTGCAACATATTCGCAATCATCACAAGGAAATCCCACTCCTTCATGTTTACGTTTTAAGGTTTTCTTTGAAACAGGTTGTAGGCTATCTTCAACCTCTAAACATTCGATTAGTAAATATTACCTTTATAAAATAATAATCTATTTACTTTTAACGAGAATTTACGGGGATAAGTTAATACCCAGTGAAGTGCAGTTCTCCCGAAGGTCTCACTGTTTGTAAAGATGTAGTTTTATCTTTATAAGCAACATAATGGACCGGTTATACAGAAGTGTACAACAATGGCGGACCACATTTTGGAAATGGCAGAGCAGGACTATTTTATTATTATTGTTTCACAAAATAATATTGCTAAAATTAGACGGATTATAATTTTTTTTTTTCAAAAACTTTAATTAATAAGATTTAAAGTAGCTTTTCACTAATTAATTATTCTGTTCAGTCTGGTAGGATTATAAATGTCAGGTCAGATATCAGGAATATATGGAACCAATCTTAAAATTAAATTAGAACGATTACTTAATTATTTTTTACATTTAATGCAAAAGTGATTAAAATTACAGATTGAAAAATAAGACGTTCTGTGGTGAGTGTAAGTATCAATTGTATAGATCTATATTATTTATACCCCTGAATTACCTTGGGCTTCCATGATTTCAACCTTGACGTCTTCTTCCTTTATATAAACAGAACATGTATCCTCTACAGTACATGTATCGTCTACAGTACATGTATCCTCTACAGTACATGTATCATCTACTGTACATGCATCCTCTAAAGTACATGTATCCTCTACAGTAGAGGATGGAAGGATTTCTTCCTCAATCTTTTCTTTAATCTCAATATTCTTCATTTTTATTTCTTTAATTTCTCCATCCATTCTCTCTGAAATATTGTATTACAAATTTCCGAAGTATAAAAGTAATCAATAATTGATCAATTTCTAAGATTTCCAGAAACAGAAATAAATGGGTATTGATGAGGACTGCCTCTACTAATACTCTCTAGCTGCAGCAAGTAATCTTTTTTAAGTTCTGACAGATATGGACAATTATTCTTTGATTTTTCAAAATTGTTAAAAAAAATATCTGATTAGCTTAAATTTTCCAGATATTATTTTCATTTAAAAAAAAAAATTGTTCACACAAAGAATCTATGAAAGGGGGTTAATCTAGTGTTTGACCTTATAATGACCTCTTACGACCTCTAATAACCTAAATGACCTCCAAAAATTAAAATGTTTTAACTATGGCTTTATGCATATCAAACGAAAGATAGGAACCCAGGAAATACCGTAGCAGCAATGAATCCAGTGTTAAACCATCTAATGACCTTAAATGACCCCCAAAAATAAAAATGTTATAACTATGACTTTAAGCATATGAAAAGAAAGCTACGACCCAGGGAATACAGTAGCAGCAACGCATCCAGTGTTTGTCTTTAACCTTTAATGACCTCCAAATTGAAAATGGTTGAACCATAGTATGTTTTTCAAATGAAAGCTAGGAACTAGAGAATACAGTGGCAGCAACAAATCTAGTGTTTGAACTTCTAATGACTACAATGACCTTTAATAAACTCCATGAAAATATTTAAATATGGCTTTAGGCATGTCAAACAAACATTAGTAACCCCCAAAGAATCGAGTAGCAGCTACAAATCCAATGTTTGACTTTCTAATGACCTCAAACGACCTGTAATGACCTCCAAATTGAAAATGTTTTAGATAAGGATTTATGTTTATCAATCAAAAGCTAGGAACCCAGACAATACACTGGATTTGTTTCTGCTACTGTATTCCTGGGGTTCCTAGCTTTTAATTGATATGCATAAAGCCATAGTTATAACATTTTCATTTTTGGAGGTCATTTAGGTCATTAGAGGTCATTAGAAGGTCAAACACTGGATTTGTTGCTGCTACTGTATTCTCGGGGTTCCTAGCTTTTGTTTGATATGCATAAAGCCATAGTTAAAACATTTTAATTTTTGGAGGTCATTTAGGTCATTAGAAGTCGTAAGAGGTCATTAGAAGGTCAATCACTGAATTTGTTGCTGCTACTGTATTCCCTGGTTCCTAGCTTTCGTTTGATATGCATAAAGCCACAGTTGAAATATTTTCTATTTGTGGAGGTCATTAGAGGGCATTAAAATTCAATTTAATTTTATTTAATTCGATCACTAATTAGGCGTGCTCCCAAAAAAATTGGAAGATTTGAACCAAAAATGAAGGCAGGCTCCCCCCCCCCCTACATCAAATGTGCCAACTCCACCATCCCCTTTAATTTATTAGTGGAGTACTCTTTTAATTATTTATTTTAATTTATTTTTTTATGTCTTCGCTCTATATGTGTTCGAAGATGACTTGCTGTAGTCGCAGAATACTCACAATAATTACAAGGGTATCTTATTCCTTCATGTTTGATTTCGATATGTCTTCTAAGATGGCTTGGTCTAGTCGCAGCGTACTCACATTGACTGCACAGATATCTCACTCCTTCGTGTTTACTTTGAAGATGCTTTTTAAGAACATTCTTAGTAGTTGCAACATAGTCGCATTGATTACATGGATATCTTAACCCTTCATGTTTAGTCTCGATGTGTATTTTAAGCACATTTGGTCTAGTTGCAGCGTACTCACATTTATCACAAGGATATCTAACCCTTGCATGTTTACTTTCAAAATGTCTTCTTAAATCCCCTACTATAGTTGCAGCATAATCACAATTATCACAAGGATATTTTACTCCTTCATGTTTACTAGCAATATGGTTTTTAAGATTACTAACTCTAGTTGCAGTGAAATCACATATATCACAAGAATATCTCACTCCTTCATGTACACTTTCTTTGTGTCTTTTAAGATCTTTTAACCAAGTAGAAGAATATTCACACTCATCGCAGGGATGCTTCCTCTTATTAGATTCATTAGACAGTGACACTTCCTCATCTTTAACAATTTCACCTTAAACAATTACAAATTAGGCGCGAAAAGTTTGAATTTTAAACCCTGTTTTGTAACAATGGGTGGTTTAAAAACAATAAAACAACAATTTTTTCATTCGCACTACGAGGCTCAAAGCCATCAATAGAAGGTTTTTGAAGAGTCCAAATATAGAAGTAGAAACTAGTTTATATCTTTCTTAAATACTAAAATTGGATTGTCTGCTTCTCTGTCTGTTTAATTCCAATACACGTAGAAATGGTGAATAAATGAAATAAATAATTGTAAATATAATTTAAATAATTAAGAGGTGAATATTAGATACCATTCAGCAGTGCTTAAGTGATTCGCGTTCACATAAAATCTCCAGCCCCCCCCCCCCTTTAAACTTGAAATATTTGCAGAATTCGTTTATTACCTTGGGTTTCAATTAATTCACATTTTACATCTTCTTCCTTTATATAAACAGCACATGGATCCTCTACAATAGTGGATGGAAGAATCTCTATTTTACTCCCAATATCATTCTCCTTTAAATTTCCGGCCATTCTCTCTGAAATTATTTAAAAATTACAAAAATTGCCAATTGGACAAATTTGAGCTGACAGGCAAACTTCGAATTGTAAAGAACGGAAAGGTCAAGTTTCGAACAAATTCAGGAAAGTATTTAAATGTTATTCTTATTATTTAGGGATTAGTAGATCTCTCGGGAAACTGCAGGCTGAGGACGAGCCCTGTAAACATTACCTTGAAATTTACTTCGGATTTCTTTCCTCTCTTTTTGTCGCTACATATTTGCTTGTTTATTTGTTTTTTTGTTGATGCTTATTCACAACATATTTTCCGAGAATATGTTTGCTAAATTTGTGTCTTTTTAAGAATTTCTGGCTGTTGCAACATATTCACATCATTAAGAAGGATATCTCATGCCTTAATGCTTGCTCTCAATGTGTGATTTAAGATTGCTTGGTGAATTTGCAGCGTATTCACAATGATCACAAGGATATCCAACTTTATCGTGTCTACTTCTAATATGTATTCTTAGATTACTTTTTTTCCCCATTGTTCTGTAATTACTAAATAAAAATAAATATAAAAAGAGGGGAAATATATCCGACTAATTTAATCAAAGTTTAGAATATTTAGAATTTGATTGAAAACTAACATGGAAACCCAGCTTTGCCTGTTTGCGATAAAAGTCAACCCATTCAACTTAGAATTTTCAACCAAGCTATTAACATTCCCCCACGTTTCTACCAAGTTTTCCTATCAAAATTTGAGTCAAACCGGTCAATGATGATCAGACAAACAAACAAACAGGGTGTCTCCAAAAAAGTCCTTAGTGGAGGCGAGAGCCTCAACTTTAGACTAATATTGACGAGTCTGAACATTGGAAGAGCCTTCAGTCATTCTCATTTTATTCAAGGTTAAAGTTCTGGAATTCTTCTGATGCAAAATAAGGGGAAGGGATTGCCCTGCTAGATCCCTAGACTTAATTCATTACAATTTCTATTAATGGGGTTATCTTAAATCCAAAGTGTATCCAGTAACTTGGATCAGTTAGAACAAAACATTCATCCAATATTTTCCTGTTTAAAGAATCTTTTAAGTTATTTTGTATCGGAAGAATTTCAAAACTTCACCCTTGAATAAAACTTGCTGCCATTCGTTTAGAAAAATGTCAAAGATGGTCAATATTGGTCCAAAAGTGCGGCTCTAGCTAACACTACGGTATTTTATTGAGACACCCTGTATTAATCTCTGTTTCTTTTTTTTAATTCAAACTTTTTTGAGACACCCAATATTTTACTTATTGAGGAGATAATCTAAAATATACACTTGTTTCCTGTTCTCAATTATTATTGATTCAGAGAATTCAGAAGATTGCAGAAGATCCACTTCTTTAACTGCAATTTCACCTTAAGGAATCATAAGGCAGTGAAATCTGCAAGAGGCCCCATTGTGGACCCCCCAGACCGCCCAGGCAGCAGGGTACACTGCCCCGCTCTAAACACCTAAACACAGGGGTATACATATATTTTCAACACCATTTTTGATGTCTTGGAGAAAATGACATGGCATTCACTTGTCAACCTAATTTAAGAAGTAACATTTTTGAATGATCAAAAAAACCCTAGTCTTGGTGTTTACAAATGAAAACAAAATTACTGGAAATATTAAAAATTTCGTTCAGATTTCGATAATTTTGGAAATTCCATAACGAGGGTAATTTTGTAATTACTGATTCAAGAACCATACATAACATGTAAAAATTAATACAGCAAATTATCTCAAAGATCGAAGACGACCTTCAAGTTTTATCTCAAAAGTCATGTTTTGTGATGAAAACTAGAACTTCATTTTAAGATTATTATTAAAACCAACTTTGCGGATTTTCTGAGGCAATATTTTCTAGAAAAATTTAATTTTACCTTGAGGGTCTGTAAGTTCAAACTTAACATCTTCTTCCTCTATAAAAACAGTAGATTTATCCTGTATACAGTATCCTGTACAGTAGATGTATCCTGTACAGTAGATGTATCCTGTATACAGTAGATGTATCCTGTACAGTAGATGTATCCTGTACAGTAGATGTATCCTGTATACAGTAGATGTATCCTGTACAGTAGATGTATCCTGTACAGTAGATGTATCCTGTATACAGTTATCCTGTACAGTAGATGTATCCTGTACAGTAGATGTATCCTGTACAGTAGAGGATGGAAGGATAGTTTCCACCTGTATTTCCTCCTTCAAGTGAAGTAGAATTGGTAAAAGTATTGTTCATATTAACTATATTGATAAATTCAACGTGAAAAGGAATGCATTATTTAAATTTTAAGATTTTTCTTCAAAGACACATGAAATGTTTGTATTGAAAACTTAAATAAAAAAGCTAGATTTACAATTAAATTTACATTAACAAATTTGGTTCACATTGGAACTTACAAATTTCTAAGTCTCTCTTGAACACTTAAAAAATTTACATGTTTAGTTTGAAGTATCTGTACGTATAGAGTTCATTTGTGATTGTATAATGATCTCATACGATACATACGTTGTGAGTTGATCACCTGTCACAAAATATTCGTTTCTAATCAATATTCTTCGTATGATTTCTTCTTCTGTGCCTTTTGAGTGCAACTTGTGATTTTGCAGCATATCCACAGATATTACAAGGAAATCTAACTTCTTCATGTTTACTCTCAATGTGTGTTCTAAGAACAATTGCTGTAGATGCTGAATACTCGCATTTATCACATGGATATCTCACTCCTTCATGTTTACTTTGAATATGTACTCTAAGATTACTAGCTGTAGTTGCAGAATGCTCACATAAATCACAGGCATAAGTCACTCCCTCATGTTTACTTTGAATATGCTTTCTAAGAGAATCAACTGTGTTTGCAGTGTGTTCACATTGACCACATGGATATTTGACTCCATCGTGTTGGCTTTTAATATGTAGTTTTAGATGACTCTCCCTTGTTGCAGTGTAATCACATTGATTACATGGATACCTAACTCCCTCATGTATACTTCGAATATGTATCTTCAGATCAGTCAATCTTAATGACTCGTAATCACATAAAACACAAGGGTATTTCACTTTATCATGTTTAGTCTCAATATGAACTTTAAGATGACTAGATGTAGTTCCAGCAAATTCACATTTATCACATGGAAATCTCAGTCCTTCGTGTTTACTTTTGATATGTTTTCTCAGAGCACTTAATGTAATTCCGGTGTGTTCACATTTATCACAGGGATATCTAACTCCTTCATGTTTACTCTTGATATGTAGTTTTAGAACTCCTTTAGTTGTTGCAGTGTAATTACATGTGTCGCACGGATATCTCACTCCTTCATGTACAGTCCTTTTGTGCCTTTTGAGATCACTTGTGGTAGTTGCAGTAAAGTCACATTTATCACAGGGATACCTCACTCCTTCATGTTTGGTCTTGATATGACTATTAAGATGACTTGCTCTAGTTGCAACGTATTCACATTTATCACAAGGATATCTTATTCCCTTATGCTTAAAATCAACATGTATTTTTAGATCATTTAATCTAGTTGACTCATACTCACATTCATGACATGGATATCTCACTCCTTCATGCTTAATCTTCATATGCGATCCTAAAGCATATGATGAGGTGGTAGTGTACTCACATTTGTCACATGGAAACTGCACTCCTTCATGTTTAATCTGAATATGTCTTTTAAGATCACTTGCGAAAGTTCCTATATACTCACATTTATCACAAGGATATCTCACTCCTTCATGCTTACTATCAATGTGTCTCTTAAGAGAAGTTTCTGTAGTTACAGAGTAGTTACATCTATCGCATGAATATCTCACTCCTTCATGTTTACTCTCAACATGTCTTTTAAGAGTAGTTGTGTCCATTGCAGTGTAGTCACATTTTTCGCAGGGATATCTGACTCCTTCATGTTTTTTCTCAATGTGCAATCGAAGATTGCCTGCTGTAGATGAAACGTGTTCACATTTATCACACGGATATCTCACTCCTTCATGTTTACATTTAACATGTATTCTAAGTTGACTTGCCACAGTTGCAACGTATTCACATTTATCACATGGATATCTAACTCCATTGTGTACACCATTCACATGTCTTTTCAGATCACTTAATCTGGTGTAACCACACCCACATTCTTCACAGGGATATCTTCTTCCTTCTAGTTTCCTCTTCTTAGTTCTGTGAAACCCAAACTGCAGAAAATCCTCTTCTGGGTTTACAGTTGATCCTTGAAAAGTAAAATAAATATTATTATTTAAGATTAGACACTAAAAATTTCTCATACTAAAACATAGGCAAAAGTCCCTCAAAAAGTGAAAATTCATGTTTAAGGACGGTGAAAAAGTTTTGTTAGAAAATAGTTTTGAGCAGGTTTTCAGAGATCAAAGTCGTCAATTTAAAGCAAAAAAAAAGTTTGAAAAAAAAACCCGCCCCACACCATTTTTCGTCCGGACCACAAATGACGTCACAACTCACCAATATTTCGTCCGACCACACATTTATTACATTCTTTTTTAGGTAGTTTGAATTATTATTTTCGAATTTTGAGCCACGTCATGTTGTTTACTATGGTTTTAAATATTTTAAGTGTTGAAATTTTTATTTCACCACACTCAAGCAAATCAAAAGCAAATGCTATGGTCCCTTCTGAAAAAATGTTAACTTTTAATTGTAGATCCTTAAAATCATTATTATCGAAAAGATGCAATTAAAGAGTAAAATAAGAAAACATCATTTTCTGACGAAAAATAGGTGAGACATACATATTTTCCATTTTTTTTGCTAAATTAGGCTTATATATATTTTTATGTTTCAAACAAAATTAAACCATATAGAATAACATGACGTTACCTAAATTTGAAAAAAAGTGTTATAAGGCATAAAAGATACATTTAAAAACACAGAAGCAACACCCGGCCGTTTGGTCGGAATAAATAATTGTGAATTGTGACGTCATTTTGATTTTTTTAATACAACTTACCCTGAAACTTATGAACTTTTGAACATTAAGTTTTAAACCTTACCTTGTGTTTCAGTAATTTCCACCGATACATCTTCTTCCTTTATATAAACAGAACTTACATCCTCTACGAAATGAACATATTTAGTTTTTTAATTTTAATGACGTACATTATGAATCTCCCATTGAAAGAACTTAAAGGTATTGTGGGAAGAATTTTTACAAGTTAACTGTACTTAAATCAGAGATCGGAACTTTTGTTTTGGGAATCTCGGGATAAAAGCATTGATCTTCATTTTATGCAGACCTACGGATTAATTTAATTCATCTTCAATATCCCGTGTGGTCATATTTTCCAGAGATAACTCCAACTGAGGGTTCAAGCATTTATTTAAAAAAAATAAAAAGTGTCCACATTGCATATCGAGATCAAGAGTTCAAAATTAACGATACTCCAAACAAATGTTCAAACCTCAGGTTTCGAAGAAGAATATAATGTACCCGTCTTATTAAATTTAGTTTTAAGCCTTACCTTTGGTATCACTTATTTCCATCTTAACATCTTCTTCTTTTATATAAACAGTACATGTCTCCTCTACGGTACATGTATCCTTTACAGTACATGTATCCTTTCCTGTACATGTATCCTCTACAGTAGAGGGTGGAAGAATCTTTTCTTTTATCTCAGTATTTTCCTTTTTCACTTCGTCCTTTAAATTTCCGACCATTCTCTCTGAAACTATTTATTTGATCAAAAATCTTAATAAAATTTAAAAGTGAATTTAAATTTAAAAATAGCGATTTGGACAAATTGGGATTACTACAAATATTTCTCGTTTATATTAACGACATTGATGGATTTTCTGCTAAGGAACATTTTTCAAATTAACAGTAAATAGATAAAGAAAATTTACATTTTTTTTGGGACAAATGTTCAATTTCTAGGAATGTGAATTTGTAAATACGTTCGCTTGAATAGAAATAACAAGATCTACAAACTAATTCCCACTTTAAACGAATTTTCATGTACAATTTAAACATTTGGTTGACATCATTCGAATTTCGGCTTCATTTCACCACATATACAACATACAAACAAGAAAACATACAGTTATTTGATTAATAAATATTAATTCAATAAATTATTTCACTTTTAGTCGTTGCAATTTCTCTTTTATGTTTTTAAGACCTCTATTAATGCTACAGTGTATCCACATTTATCACAAGGAAATCTTGAATATTCATGTTTACTCTTAACATATGTTCTTAGAGTATTTTCTGTAGTTGTTAAAAACTCACACTTAGTTTAAGTTTATTACTTAACTCTTTGTGTTTACTTTCAATGTGAGATCATTAATTACATGCATTGCAGTATAATCGAATTTTTTAAATGGAAATCAAACTACTTCATGTTTACTATTAACATGTCTTTTTAAGTTACTTACACAAGTTGCGATATATTCACATTCAAGACAAGGATATCTAACTCCTTCATGTTTGCTCTCAATGTGTACTCTAAGTGACTTTGTGTTGGTTGCAGCGTACTCACATTTATCACATGGATATCTCACTTCATCATGCTTAATCACAATATGTCTTCTAAGATTACCAGCTGTAGTTGCAACAAACTCACATTTAGTGCATGGATATCTTACTCCTTCATGTATGCTCTCAATATGTACTCTAAGACACCTTTTGGTGGTTGCAGCGTACTCACATTTATCACATGGATATCTCACTTCTTCATGCTTAATTACAATATGTCTTCTAAGATTACCAGCTGTAGTTGCAACAAACTCACATTTAGTGCAAAGATGTTTCACTCCTTGATGCTTACTCTCAATATGGATTTTAAGATTACTTTTTGTGGATGAAGTGTGTTCACATTTATCACAGGGATATCTCACTCCATTATGTTGTCTTTTAATATGCTCCTTGAGATCATTTAATCTTGGCGCCGTGTACTCACATTCATTACAAGGGTATCTCACTCCTTCATGTTTGCTCTCCATATGGATTTTTAGAGCACTTGGTGAAATTGCAGTGTACTCACATATATCACATGAATATTTTATGCTTACTCCTTCATGCTTACTCTTAATATGTGCTTTAAGACGGCTTGCTAACGGTGAAGTGAAGTCACATTGAGAACACGGATAACTCACTCCTTCATGTTTATTGTCAATATGATATCTAAGATATCTTGGCGAAGAAGCAGCGAACTCACATTTATCACAGGGATATCTCACTCCCTCGTGTTTTCTCTTAATATGCATATTAAGATCACTTACTCTAGTTGAGGTGTACTCGCATCTGTCACAAGGATATCTCAAGCCTATGTGTTTACTCTCAATATGAATTCTGAGTTCAGTTCCTGTAATTGCAGAATATTCGCATATAGTACAGGGATATCTTATTCCATCATGTTTGATCTCTTTATGTATTTTAAGATTACCCGCTGAATTTCCTGCGTACTCGCATTTATCACATGGATATCTTACTCCTTCATGTTCATTCTCTTTATGTTTTTTGAAACTACCTGCTGTAAATGCTATGTATTCACATTTATCACAAGGATATCTCACTTCCTTATGTACACTCTCAATGTGGCCTTTTAGATAACTTGCTGTAGTTGCTATGTATTCACATTTATCACACGGATGTTTCATTTCTTCTAACTTCAGTTTCTTGTTTCTCTTTATCAATCGAAAAGGATCTTCCTCATTGAGATCTAAATAAAAAAGAGTAAAAACATTTATTCGCGATTTCAGATTAAAATCTTCTTAGACTGAAGGGAAAATAAATGAATTCAGGTAAAAAAATATTAAAAACTTACCAGTAAATGTACATAGTTTTAAACCTCACCTTTGGTTTCAGATATTTCAAATTTAACATCTTCTTCCTTCATAAATATGGAATATGTTTCTTCTACAGTAGAGGAGGAGGGGAGGATTTCTTCCTCAATCTCTTCTTTAATCTCAACATTTTCCAGTTTTATTTCCTCCTTTAAGTTTTCCGCCATTTTCTCTGAAAGGGGAGGTGGAGATGGCGCATTTGATGTAGGGGGGAGGGGGGGGGCCTGCCTTCATTATTGGTTAAAATCTTCCAATTTTTTGGCTGTACGCCCAATTAGTGATCGAAATTCCTAAAATAAATTTAAATTGCATTTTAATTACCTCTAATGACCTCTAATGACCTCCACAAATAGAAAATATTTCAACTATGGCTTAATGCTTATCAAACGAAAGCTAGGAACCCCAGGAATACATTAGCAGCAAAAAATCCAGTGGTTGACCTTCTAATGACCTCTTGCGACCTCTAATGACCTAAATGACCTCCAGAAATGAAAATGTTTTAACTATGGCTTTATGCATATCAAACGAAAGCTAGGAACCCCAGGAATATAGTAGCAGCAACGAATCCAGTGGTTGACCTTCTAATGACCTCTAATGGCCTAAATGACCTCCAAAAATGAAAATGTTTGAACTATGGCTTTTTATAAAATATAAAGATTATATTGTCAATACTTAAGTCTGATAAGAGATGTCATTACTCAAAGCTCTTATGAGACTAGAGCTGAAAACTCTTGTATTGGATACCCTTATCCCGATTGCTAAATCTCTGTATCCACTGTTTACACTTTTGATTTTCTGCTTAATTCTCTCTTTTGGATATCCCTACTAAATTCCGACCAAAAAGGAGATCGATAACCACAATTCTAAAGTTTTCAACTCAGGATCACTAACCACCATATTAGTCTTTATGTTTGCTCATCTTGTGTCTCTTTAGAGAATTTCTTGCAGTTGCAACATATTCACATAATTCACAAGGATATCTCACTCCTTCATGCTTGCTCTGAATGTGTGATTTAAGATTGCTTGGTGAATTTGCAGCGTATTCACAATGATCACAAGGATATCCAACTTTATCGTGTCTACTTCTAATATGTATTCTTAGATTACTTTCTGAGGATGTAGTAAACTCACATTGTTCACAAGGAAATCTAACTTCTTTGTGCTTACTCACAATATGTTTTCCTAGACTAACTGTTGAAATTGCAGTATATTCACATTTATCACAAGAATATCTCACTCTTTCATGTTTTATCTTGATATGTTTTCTCAAAGTATTTGCTGTACTAGAAATGTATGCACATTTGTCGCAAAAATATTTCACACCTTCATGTATACTCTCAACATGTATTCTTAGACAAGTCGCTGTGCTTGCTATGTGCTCACACTTATTACAGGGATATCTGATTCTATCGTGTACACTCTCAACATGTTGTCTTAAATTGCTTGCTAAAGTTGCAGAATACTCACATTTATCACAAGGATACCTGACTCCTTCATGTCTACTCTCAACATGTATTCTTAGATTACTAGTTGTAGATGCAACGTACTCACATTTATCACAGGGATACCTAATTCCTTCATGCTTACTCCTTATATGTGTTTTAAGTCTATCCGCAGTGTTGGCAAAATAATCACATAAATTACATGGATATCGAACTCCCTCGTGAATGTTCTCAACATGCCTTTTCAGAATTATTGATGAGGATGCATCATATTCACATTGATTGCAGAAATATCTCTTTCCTTCATGTTTACTTTCAATATGTTTTTTCAGATCACTTTTTCTAGCTATAGTATAGTCACATTGATCACAAGGGTATCTGATTTCTTCATGTTTAGCTTTGATATGTCTGTTCAACTTGCTGCCACAGGGTGCAGTGAATTCACATTTATCACAGGGATATATTTTTTCTTCAAGTTTGCCCATCTTAGCTCTCTTTGATTCCGATATCGAACCTGAAAGCAAATTCTTTATCAAAAATAATCCAGTGTCCGAATTTAATGAATTTAAGCCGCGACTCAAATCCCCCAAAAACCTGTTTCAATTGAGCGCCGGCTAACATCTTGAAAAATTGAATATAATTTTAAGTGGAAATCTGCAAACCTCTATTCAAAGGTAAGACATCTTATCATCGTCAATAACAATACAAGTACAGTTGCAGGGTGTATAAAGACTAAATTTGAAGACCTGTATTATAGAGGTATATCTTTTCCATAGTTTATTGTGACCTCATTAGCTTGGAAATCCATCTTTCCCTTGAAACTAAGTTTTCCCCTTTAAATGTTTAAACCAAGCTAAGACTATTTCTGTGGTTTAATAAAGGTCACCAACCAAAATTTGAGGCAAATTGGTCAAGGGGGTTCATGAGTTATAAATAGGCATACAAACAGATTATGGTTAACTGGTTTGGTAATTTCCTAGTATACGATTTTTGGTGGGTCCAAAAATCGTTCTCTAGGACAGACCTCAAATCTTACCTTTGTTTTCAATAATTTCAACCTTTACGTCGTCTTCCTTTATATAAACAGTACATGTATCCTCTACAGTACATGTATTCTCTCCAGTAGAGGATGGAAGGATTTCTTTCTGAATCTCTTCTTTAATCTCATTATTATCCTTCTTTAATTCATTTTTGAGGATTCCGGCCATTTTCATTGAAAAATCTGAAAAATCTCATGGTGCAAATTAGTCAGGAGGGTTAGGAGGGTGCGTCCAAAACGATCTCTAGGACAGATCCGTGAGCTAAAAACGTTCTAATTTCCGTTTGTTTCTTTGAGCATCAATTGCGAACTTCTCAAATTTTGAATCGCAGGGGGTGCACTCATGAACGCCCCCCCCCCTTAGATTTGGACGGCGACTAAGTTACTCTACTCTCCTGAACCTAGCGTAATGAATGTAATCCCAAGCGTAAACAAACCCCACAGTCACTGTACACTATAGTTCACAGAGAACACTAGAACTGTTGAAAAGATCATGAACACAGAAGACGACATTATATCTAATCATTATCCTAAACCTGGAAATAATTTATGTAAAATTAACGGTAATGTTACATCGTCTATACGCAACATCCCCCCTACTGAACTTCTGACCTACTAATTTTCCGACCTACTGCAATATGGGACCTACGCCAGCTGTTTATTTTAATATATGATTTGAGGGTTAGGTTAGGTTAAGCCAATTTCTGGGCCGAGCGCTGTGGCTAGGACAGGCTAGGGGGCCGAGCTTCACGGCTAGGACAGGCTAGGGGGCCGGGCGCTGCGGCCACAAGTCCATATAGCAGCTGTAATACCACGTGCTATGTAGGTCGGATGTGTAGTATAGCGGATTTGGCGTAGGTCAGAAGTGGAGTATGGCGGATATGTATAGGTCGAAAAATACACCACCAAAATTAACTGAGGCACTCGCTCTCTTGGATCTCATGGAAACAACAACAAAACAAATGATACATTGTTAAGTTGATACTGGAGGGGACTAAACCTTTTTCGACATTCCAGTGGGGGGGGGGGGGGCTAAGTTTGGGACCCCCTGGAAATAAATTATAGTACTTTCATTTTTCTTAATATCTATTGGACTTAATTTATCTATTTCCAAAATTGTCTTCTATTTTTTTGTAAATGGTAATAAATCCAGTATTATTTCAATCATCGAATGTTGGGAGGGAATGAAAATGATGCAAAGAGGTAAAGGAGTTTGAGATGAATGAAGAGATGGTTTCTGTCAAGGAAGAAATTACGTCCTTACTCCTCTCCTCTACTGCAGAGGATTCATGTACTGTACATGCTACTGTACAGGATACTGGGACTGTAATGTACACCTACGAGGAAGAAATCAAGATGGAGAATACTGATACTCGAGGTACGACTTAAATATTATTACTTTGACCTTCCTATATTTTCAACTTGGATAAAATGTATATTTTAGGTGAAATAGATCTAAATTTTTAGGTTGGTTCACCATTGATATATGGTCAGATGAGCTATAGTTTTAGGTTGGTTTACCATTAATATAGGGTCAGCTGAGCTATAGTTTTAGGTTGGTTTACCATTAATAGGGTCAGATGAGAAATGATTTTTTTAACGAAATAAAAAAAGTTTTTTGTTGTGAAAAATAAGAAAATACATTTAATATATTTTGAGAAATCATTTTAAAAGTTTTCATAACAAAGCATTTCGTTTTAATAACTTTAAATATAATTTTAAGTTTATCCTTTAAAGAGAACGTAATCATTGTAAAAACTGGATTCATACTTAAAACGAAAAAAAATCATCTTAAACAGCATGCACAATTCACATTCTTCAATCACATGTTTCAAGGGTATAAATGGAGCCATAAAAAGTGATGGCATACGGGAATACAAAGAGTTCACACGGTTCACTGTTTAATCACTTTAAAGGGGTTGTAAGCGTAATTTCACGTAACCCTCCTTTCTAAAACATGGCAATGCACGATTAACAACGGCACCGAAGCTTTTCTGATCAAGTATGAATTGGATATCAATGTTCACAATTTTGAAAACTGATTATTTTCAATTGTGGCGTTTCTGATAAAGTGACTAGCGCATTTCTACTGTAGTCAAATGTATAGGAATTATCAGAATTAAACATTTTTAAACCTAGAAACCGATAAAGTGTTCAAGGGTACCGTTGTGAATCGGGAATATTTTCTATGCTAGACAGTTCCTTTCAGGCCGGATTAGAAATCCTCTAAAAGTTTTGGAATTATTTATTTTTATTATTATTTGGGACACATAAATAAACAATAAATTGCAGGTCAATTATTGCACAACATTATATCTCAAATAAAATAGATGATTATTGATTAAGTAGGAAAATACATTACATCATGATAAAAGTAGAGGAAACATATGTTAGTATCCTACATTATTAAATTTTACTATATTGCGCTGAAGGATCGGGAATGTCTGTAACAACCAATATTTTAAAATCAAACTATTATTATTATTATTGTTTAACTATTATTATTATTTTTTAAGATGACAATATTCGATCGTAAATTTTATCTACAATCGTCGTATTTATCAAACATAGATTATTCGATTTAAAAGAATTTATAGGTTGAAAAATGCATGGAATACGACATTGGGTTGCAAAGATAACGAAATTAGGAAATCAGAGTTTGAGGCAATGACTTAATACTCTATAGGGACTGAAAGCGTAATTTCAAGCGACCTTCTCTGCAAAGATGGCAATTCCTGATTTATAACAAGTTAGCTGTAAAAGCTTTGTTTGATAAGTATGAATTAGATATCGCATCGCATGAAAAAACTTTGTTAAAATAGCTGATCAATCAGTGAAGCTGATAAAAAAATAATATTTAACATGAGCCATCATAGGCTGTAAATTGAATCTTTAATTTATTTTAAATCACTTTTTGCAATTGTTTAATTTCTTAAGATGCTAATAATGAGGTCTCCAGAATGTATTGGTGCGCTCAGAAAGACCAGGGCTATTATGACTTTATAATCTTTTTAAATACTCGTGCTTCTAAAGGAAAAATATAAGTATGCGTAGTAATGATGCACTGTAAAATTAAGCGAGCAAAGTTGGATCTTTTTTATATTCGAATCAATATTTTTGTAAATAATATTCATGTTTATTGTATTTAAATTTCCCAAAAATAGATTTTTTTTAAATTCAAAAATACTGTAACATTTAGAAAGGAATTACTAAACCAAATACATATATATTCAATCTTATTTAATAATTATATACTATAGGGGTTGGGATAAAAAATTCAAGGATTTTGAATCAAACATTCATTATTTTTGAATTTAAGAAAACTATAATGATAAAGAAAATAAAAAAAATAAATAAAATTGAATATTTTATTCTAAAAAACTGTTTAAAATTGTATATCATTATTTATTACTTTGTATAAAAATCACTCGCATTGTCAACGCGTGATTATTTACGTATTTTATTCCAAAGTTTTGAATTAAATATTCAATAAATAGGAATATTATTGTCCTATTGGATTCGAATTGGTAAACAAAATTATTCAAAATTTAGGTAAAATTTATCCAATATTATTGTTGTGATCGCGCGATTCCGAAATATTGAATAAAATATACAATCTCAAATTTTACAGTGTGGAAACTTTTTTTAAAGTGTCATTATGTGTTTATAACTGTCCGAGGAGACCACTAGAAACTTGTTTAAGGTTTCTATGTTCAAAAGGAAATTTTTTTAATTGCCAGACTAAATACATTATTTTGAGTGACCTTTTCTTTTCAGTATACCATATTCGATTCACGTCTTCTCTTTTTACGTTTATTATTTTCAATTGTGATTTCGCATCTCTGCTCCAGAAATTGTCAGAGAAATAGAAACTCTTAAAACTAGAAAAAAACGATATCTTAGACATTATTGATAAAATAAATGTGAATCTGACATGTCTCTTTCTAAACTGAAAGGTCTCAGAAAATTACAACGACAGTTTCTATAAGTTTTAAGCATGATCTTTTAGGAGGGATTTTGGCAATATTTCTAGTACATAAACTTCCCAGAGTAAAATTGGCAATAATAAGGTAGTTTTTTCTTAATTATATTGATTATGTTTTAGCAGAAGAACCAAGCGTTACCCGTGCCATGGTTTCTCTTGTCCATCAGTTCCTTGCCCGTGCACGTCGGGCTTCCTGAGGTTTTAATTCCGTGCCCCACTGCCTTATTATACTTTGCATTTTTATATTTAAGTTACATTTTACTAGGGGTTTCTACTTGGCCGACATACTCGTATATATAAAATAATTATAAAATAATAAAATATTATTAAAAATATTGTGTTTAAGTTGTTTATTTACTGATTTACTGATTTACTGATTTACTGATTATTGCTGTATAGTATAATAAATATATGTATTTATAAACAGGAAGTATTACTAGAGAGGAAGGATAACTATAGAACAGGAAGTATAATTAGACAGGAAGGATAACTAGTGAACAGGAAGTATAACTAGACAGGAAGGATAACAAGTGAACAGGAAGTATAACTAGACAGTAAGGATAACTAGTGAACAGGAAGTATAACTAGACAGGAAGGATAACTAGTGAACAGGAAGTATTACTAGACAGGAAGGATAACTAGTGAACAGAAAGTATAACTAGACAGGAAGGATAACTAGAGAACAGGTAGGATAACTATATATATGTATGTATGTATATATGTGTGTGTGTGTATTAGTTTGGAAACCCAGCTTTACCTGGAAACTAAGTTATTATCGGACATCCAAAAATACAGACACCTTATCGGACACCTTATGTGTATACTTTGCTAAATGAAATACATTACATAAGATATATTTTAGTGCTGGTTTTATGGGAATATCTATGGGATTGTTAGGATTCTCTGTTTATTGTCAGTCTGTTAATTATCAGTTCACTGGATTAAGAGTCATACCTTTGTTATCAATAGTTCTTTACACCCTGAGCTATGGTTCAGGTAACAACATTAAGAATCATACCTTTGTTATCACTAGAGTGGCATGTCCAAGGCACAAGGGTTCCCTTTAAACCTTGGCCAGAGATAAATATGTTTTTTTTTATCAGAGAGTAGATTATTTTTAATTGTGATATCTCTCTAAGAGTGCAGATTACTGATATTTACCCTGATATTTCCAATCCTATTGATGGTTTTACATCCTCATGGAACCTTCTGGATGTTCTCCGGGGTATGTTTTTTAGATTGTGGTCTCTATGCAACCGTAATACCGGAGACGAAAGGACTTTCCATTCTTCAAATAAGAGAACTATTCAAGAACTCGGTGAACAAACCAACAAAGCATTTATGTTCCTGAAAGAAAAAAATTTAATTCTATCAAAGAAGAGAGTTTAAAATAAAAGTTTATTTTTTTTCAAAAATATATATTTCCTTTATA